ATCATCTTCTTTCTTTTTTTCTTTTGTGTGAAACTAGTCATTGCCATATTATTAAATACAAGATGACAATGTGTAGTTGCAAAAACAGACTAGTTTACCTCAGGATCGGCATAGTTCAAATCAAGAACAAACTTAAGAAGAACATAACATTCAAATATATATACTCAATCACACCCAAAATCGGGGCTTTGACAACATGCCTATATAAAGTAATAAGGATCAACCACCCCCAAGATCGCAGCTTTAACAGCATGTCTCTTCGCAATCGTACCGTTGGAACTAGATGTAGTATTTATGTTATTGATATATATGTTTTGCGATTTAGCAACATGTTTCTTCGCAATCTTACCGTTGGAACTAGATGTAGCATTTATGTTATTGGTAGATATGTTTTTTTACTTTATGTAACTTGCTAGTTTAATGAAAGTTTTATATGTTTGAATTAAATTTTCAAAACTAAAAAAATTAGTTTTTGCTTACAAAAAAAAAAAAATCAGAATAAAAAGATTGGTTGGAGACAAAGGAGACATGTCCATGCTTACCGAGAAGAAAACACGTAAAGCTCGTGATGGTACTGTCAAAGACAAAACAGCTCAATTATTAAGCATACATTAATTATTACTGGTAGCCTAAATCTCTACTTTTGTTACTAGTTAATTAAAAATCATTTTATTAATCCAAGTGGTATGAATCTTTTGTAGCGCGTGAATCTCAATTGAGTGCCCACCCAAGGGGGACAAGCAGTGAAGCTGTAAGAAACTCTAGTGGGTTTGCATTATTTTACATTTAAACAACACATGCCATTTTTGCTTTTTTTATTTATTTTATAAATATAACTTTGGGTAATTGCATTATATCAACAGAATTAATGTGGTATTATTGTAGTGTAATTTGACTAAAGTTACATTTTTTTCAAATTTAATGAGTAACAAATAAAAATCTATTTACTGAATTCTACTATCGCCACCGCCAGTTTGAGTAGATTCTGCAATTTGAAAGATCACATTAAAAGATGAAAAAATTAGTTGTGATGTGGTGTTTTACTTCAAGAGAATATGAGTATAGTTCAAGATTGATTATTTATTTTATTTTTCATTTCTTAAACTTTCTATACTGTATTTTGCCCAAATTCGAAGATTGCTAGTGGCGTTGATGAAAAATAAAACTGGTGTGGTGATCTTTTGTGTTTTATAAACAAAAAAAATTATTGATGCTAAAATCGACACTAACATCGCATGACATAAATAAGCATTTACACACAATGTAAGTCATTTTCAAATTTAAATAAACAATGTTCATTTTAAAATATAAAGTTTTGTTAATCCGTTATTAAGATTTCTGTAGTGCTAAGTAAAATTTAAAAATAATTAATTATTTTGTTAAGAGTGATGTACCGACGAATAACAATAATTCAATCATATGTTAAGAATTATATATATGTTGACCTATATATTATTTTTTCTTTCATTTCATACAAAATATTATTTTGAAGATTTTCACTCTGAGTTAAGAAACTTTAACTGAAAGTCTAAAATTAGTGCAAGCCAAGAATATTTGAAACCACCAAAAATAGAATTTGTTTAAGTTTGATATTATTAAATATAATTTGGACACTATTATTATTTTTAAACAAATATAGCTAACATCACAATTTTCATTCGTCCTTCGTCTCAAGCATCGGAACTGGGATGAACAACAAAATCGTAATCGCTTTGTCTAATTCCATTAGCAATTCCGCTTTTGTTGAGTGAATGGACTGAAAATGTTTCACTGATTTATGCTTCTCTGTTTTTGCATTATTTGTAATGGGACCATTTGTATAAGTTTACGATCGTTCAATTGTAAATCTAACTAGGAACAGAGTAAACTTCAATTGTGTTTTATATATATATATATATATATATATATATATATATATATATATATAAAGATAAGAAAAGTGGTCACTAGGGACATAGTAAACTTCAATTATACAGTAAAACCTCTATAAATTAATACTCTATAAATTAATAACCTCTCTAAATTAATTAATTCTTCCGGTCCCGAGTTGGGACCAGTGTAAAATATGACATAAATCGATAAATTAATAAGATAATAATTTTTTTGAAAATCTCATATAAACATATGGTCCCATCGATATCATAAATTAATAATTGTATAAACTTATCAATATATATATATATATATATGATATAAATTTATATATGTCATATTTGAATTACTATGATATATATTTAAAATATTCTATGTAAAAAATTTAATAAAATATGACTCTATTATTCGAAAAAAGTTTGTGTTGTTTTTTTAAACTTAATAATTACTTATCTATTTGTAATTAGTTTTTAAAAGATATTACTTATAAGAAAACCTTATTTTTAGATAGAAATGTTTTTAAGAAATTACAAAAATAGTAAAATCTCTCTATAAATTAATAATTATTAATTTATTGATAAATTAATACCTCTCTAAATTAATAAAATTTGCTACTCCCAACATTATTAATTTATAGAGGTTTTAGTGTGTATATATATATATATATATATATATATTTATATATAATTTTAATTTATGTCCTTAATTTATATTATCATTTTGTAAGGGCTAAGCTCATTGTGTTTGTACCCACCTAAGATCCTAAAAATGTCAATAAATATGAAAATATTTTGATAAAAAAAATCAATCAATTTCACATAAAAGAAAATAAAATTTTTGAGAAAGATAATTTTATGTCGGGTACCAGTATTTTAATTAATAGTGAAAAACGTTCCATTCCAAAGAATTTCTTCTTTTATATCTTCATCTTCATTGTCTTTTTCATCTCATTTTCTCTTTCTCTTTATTGTTTTTTCTTTTCTTCTATGCCTTTCCATGGCGATGATTTTAAGTTTGCTATACGATATCTTTTTCCTTGTGCTCATATCAATTATGCTATTTTAGCTTTGATTCTTTATTTTTTTCAAGTGAAAATTTATCTTTGCACCAACAATTCCTTGATTTTAAAAAATAGAGGAGAATTTACAAAAACAGATTCAAAACTTATAATTCCAGATTAAAGAAAATCTAGTCGATGTTCAAGAGTTGGAATCTGAAGATCTAATTGAAGTGAATTCCATGATTATCAATAATAGACCGCTAAACCCCAATACTCATGAAGTTGCAAAAAAACATTGGTTGTTATGCCTTGAATATGAAAGAAGCGGTGGTAGTTATAAAATCGAGAAGATTCACGTCAAAGGATGATGAGTCCTCTTATACATACATAGTGATCAGAATTTGAATCATTAAAGATAATATAGATCTTAGGAACCTACCCAAACTTGCCCCTTTCCTCTTAGCAAAAGGACTATCTTTTTTAAGAAAGAGGATCATATTAAGGGTGAAAATCCACTTAGGAAAATAATTAGCCAAGAAGTGATGACTGATGTTTCTGCCAAAAAGAAAACAAAATCTCAAATCTCAAAGCCAGTTTCATATCTCTTTAAGAAGAGAGAAGAAACTTAAGAATTCCAAAAATAAACATGCGTGGAAAAAATTGAGATATCATACTTCAAAGTGTTCTCATCTATTAAAAATTCTAGAATAACATATTATTTCATCTTCGATGAAGTATTTTATTTGTCATTTCTTCTAACTAGGCTAGCAGCAAATCATTATGCCCAATTTAAAGCTCACTCAGGTACTTTGACTGATCGATCTCCATCTCGATTCGATTAGATTAGTAGTTTACCTTAAACCACCAAACATTTTATACATTTATTGAGTTGAAACTACCAAAGATAAAGAAAGCCATGACATTTCAACATATCAAAATAATGCATGGAAATACCCAGTTCAATGTTCCTTAGCATGACGAAAATCAAAAGAAAATATTTGGAAGAATTGAGTGGTATCGCTTTGTGCCGCTTTCTTAGCTCAAGGATTTTGGATTCTAGCTACATCAACTTCGTTATCAGTTTAATGCTTGATAACTTTGCCTAGATGTATTTCAGTTTTTTTTTGTTGTTGTGAGGGCTAGCATGATTGTCACATGTTGTATTCAAATCTGTTTCCGTATTTGCATATTTTTTAATGTGCAAACATTTTCAAATTCGAGCGATATAATATTTTTGTAAATCTAAAATATAGGTGAAAAGAAAAAAAATTGTGAAGAAAATTAGATACTTATTCTAAATATTAGTTAAGACTTTTCTGTTCAAAAATTGAATAGTAAAAAAATTTATTAGCATTTTAAGCTATTGTTAGACCGATGTTTTATGACCAATATAATTGATAAAGTTATGTTTTTATAATGTGATGTTGATGATGAGTATTAAGTAAACTAAAATAGTAAAAATGTGATTCATAATGCACAAATTCAATTTTATAAATTTTTACAAATAAAAAGAATATGTATTTTCACTTCAATTCTTGAGAAAAATTTATGTATTAAGAGTATTCTACCTTTCTAATTTACTACTATAGCATATGACAATGTTGATTTTGTCACTCATATGAATTTTGTTAAATATATAATCTAATTTGAAATACAAAAATCATGATTCATGAGGCACGTTTCAATTCACATAATGGGAAATATAGAAAAAAAAATAGCTTTTTATTTGAGCTGTACTATAATTTTTAAAAAGAAAAAAAAATTGTTTCACAAAGATTACTGTAGAACCTTTATTTTATTTCCTATTAACTAGTGTTAATTTAATGAAACAACTAATGAATATTAATCACGAATATATTTGTAGTAGTACAAGAAATTCTTAAAATGTATGCAAAGTCTAAAACATACAATTTATGTAATAGTTTACTAATCTTTAAATAATTACACTTCCTAAGAGTCAGAGGTTTTTTCACTAAATTAACAGCTAAAACCCCAAAAAAATCCGTTAATCATGGCTAGTTTCAGTGAAGTTTCCTCAAAGAAATGCTGTTTTTTTCAAAGTAAAGAGACTAAAGAGAGCAAAGTCATTGCTTGTGGTTAGAAACGAAAACCCAAAGAGAGGAAACAAAGAAAATAAAAGAAAAAATAAAAAAAAGAGAAGAAGAGAAAAAGAGGCAAGCCATAGCCAAAGGGTTCGTGTCGGCTTCAACCAAACACTGACGGTGTGTGTATACACCTTTACATACACACCTTTATCTCTCACATCTTCCCAAATCAATCTTCTACTGTTTTCTTTTTTCCTCTTCTTACATTATTTTTGACAGCAATTCTCAGTTTCTCTCTATCCCCTTTCTGGGTTTTGTTTGAACCCTAGCTCGCTTTGGATCCAGTGGTTTTAAGTTAAAGGTTGGATTTTTATTTCTGGGTTTGCTTGGTTCTGCTTAGTAAATGTTGGAAAAGGAGGAGACTTTAGAGGATCTGTAGTCAGATTTGAGCTGGGTTTGTCGATTTTACCGGGATTTTGATTTTGGGGTTAATGTAGATCAAGAATTGTTACTTTGTTTCATATCCAAATTTCAACTCTTTTTTTGGTTCCTGATCTAAAAATCGTTTCTTTAAGCTTTCTAAATGGGTTTTGTCTTCGGTGGTACTGAAATTTTGTCTGTAGCTGTATTCTTCTCATAGATTTGATTCTATTACATAATCTTAGGTTCTGAGTTTGAAATCTTGGTTTTAGTAACAGTTTTTGTGTTGCATAGTGTGAAGTTATAAGGACTGAAATCTGTTCATTTTTGGTATGTTATTGAGCAGGTTCTTGTCTTGCTTTTGCTTTATTTGTTCTTTCTTTTTACATCTTTGTTTGAGTGACTATTGGATTTTCTCTTCAAATTGGGTAATAAAATTTTGAGAATCTTAGTCTTGTGATGTGCTTTAGACACAATGTAGAACAAAGCAGTTACATAAATGGCCCACATTTTGTCAGTAAATTTATGAAAGGGTTTTAAATGTTTCTACATAATGACATCTATCAGAGTTTTGTTTGTCTAAATTAGAGGAAGGATATGTCCATCTTCTGCTTTTCTCTTTCAGAATAACATTTCAATCTTATAGTTTTCTCTTCTTTTGTTTTTGTTGCCCAGGTAAATTTATCGAGATTAAGGATTCCAAATGGCAGCTACCACTCATTCATCTGTAAAACCGGGAGGTTCGTGGAATATTTATTGCAACCCTTGCTTTGTTTTTGAGAAACTATGTTGCATAATGCATCCCATAACCGTTATTTGTATCTTTGTAGGAGTTTTAAGTGATGCTTTATGTACGGAGCTCTGGCATGCCTGTGCTGGACCTCTTGTAACGCTACCTCGTGAAGGGGAACGAGTTTATTATTTCCCTGAAGGCCACATGGAGCAGGTATTCTTATTGGGTTGAATCACTTAACATTGTGATAAACCGTAGTACCCTCATTTGCTAAAGCCGGTTATGTTAATTGGAGTGTTCTTACTCTATGTCACTTCAGATAACCTTGTTTATGCTTTCTAGCTTAAAATAAAGTCACCAAAACATGTATTGTTGTATAGAACAGATAAATGTACGACCTGTTTTGATTTCACATGATTAATTGTTTTGTGCATCTTATCTGGTTATCACATTTATGCATTTAATTGGTCACTTCCTATGCAGCTCGAGGCATCAATGCACCAAGGTTTGGAGCAACAGATGCCTTCCTTCAATCTTCCATCTAAGATTCTCTGTAAAGTGATCAACATCCAGCGCAGGGTAGGCTGAATTCCATGATATATGATAATTTTTCTTCATGAAATGGGTTGGCTAAATAATTTCATACCTTGTTGTGCTTCACTTTGCAACCTCAGGCAGAGCCCGAGACTGATGAAGTATACGCGCAAATAACCTTATTGCCAGAACTGGATGTAAGTAAATTTGATGGTTTGGTGTTCTATAAAATACGGTTTTGTATTTTTTTTTCCTGTTATTGATTTTGGTGAAACTATTATGTTTGGTTATCAGCAAAACGAACCAACCAGCCCAGATGCACCTGTTCAAGAACCTGAAAAGTGCACTGTACATTCATTTTGCAAGACACTAACTGCTTCAGACACAAGCACACATGGTGGATTCTCTGTGCTACGGCGACACGCAGATGATTGTCTCCCACCCTTGGTCAGACTTGCTTCCGGTGTTCTTGTTGCTTTTTGGACACACCTCCAACTTCTTTTTTTTTTTTGTAACAGTTTGCTTTCTCTTTTCTAGGATATGTCCCAACAACCACCGTGGCAAGAATTGGTTGCAACTGATCTCCACAATAATGAATGGCATTTTAGGCACATTTTCCGAGGTTTTTACACTTGGTATCTTATTATGAGATGGTCTACTGTGGTTCCTTTACCCTAATGCTACTGCTACTGGAAATCTTTAAAGCTTTACATAATTTTGCATTAATATTATTGTTTCACGTTTGTTTTAATCATAAGGTTGTGACTGACTACAGGCCAACCAAGGCGCCATTTGCTAACAACTGGATGGAGTGTATTTGTTAGCTCGAAGAAACTAGTGGCTGGTGATGCTTTCATATTCTTAAGGCAAGTTCCTCATTTCATTTGTATGGATATTGTTTCTGCCATAAACGGCTGGACATGTGACATAGTATTGTCTTTCAGGGGTGAGAATGAAGAGCTCCGAGTTGGTGTTAGGCGGCACATGAGACAACAGACTAATATCCCGTCATCTGTCATTTCAAGTCATAGCATGCATATTGGGGTCCTTGCGACTGCAGCTCATGCCATTACAACAGGGACAATCTTTTCTGTCTTCTACAAGCCCAGGTCTTTTTCTTACTTTACTTTAATTGAGACATTGACTGGGAACAAAATCCTAAAAAACAGTTTAATGCCATCAAATGGTCGAAAACACATCAGTTGATGCATCTGACTGTCAGCCTAATTTAGAAAACTTAAACTTTTGCTATGTTAGATGTATCTGTCCGGTCTGGGACAGACACGCCAGCCATTTTTTTCTCCAAATATGCATCTTATGCCTTTGAGTTACTGTTGCTTGCATATGCTTGATGATAATCATTTTGCTGCAAATTCAGGCTGACGTATCTTCTATTATCAGGACAAGTAGGTCAGAGTTTATTGTGAGCGTCAATAGATATCTCGAAGCTAAGACCCAGAAGCTGTCTGTAGGCATGCGTTTCAAGATGAGATTCGAGGGTGAAGAAGCTCCCGAGAAAAGGTATCACATCTAACTATCTTGTTTTCTTTTCGCTGATAAAGCTGAATGCAATATAACTTCTGGCTTTTTATGTATATATATTTTTTTTTTCTTATTTTAACAATGCAGGTTCAGTGGGACAATAGTTGGTGTTCAGGAAAACAAGTCTTCGGTCTGGCATGATTCTGAATGGAGATCGCTAAAGGTTAGAATATTCTACTGTTATACTTTGCAGTGGAGCAAGTTGTGGGTTTGTATTTCTTTAGTTGAATGAATAGAGTGATGCATCTTAATATGCTTCTTTGCAATCTGATCATGCTTCAGGTTCAATGGGACGAACCCTCATCTGTATTTCGTCCTGAAAGAGTTTCACCTTGGGAACTTGAGCCCCTAGTTGCAAATAGTACTCCTTCTTCACAACCTCAGCCTCCACAAAGGAACAAACGACCGAGACCTCCTGGTTTACCTTCACCAACCACCGGTCCATCTGCTCCTGGTATTCTGTTTTCTCTTCTCTTCTGAACTGTTCTTCTTTGTGGCAGCTCTGGCTCTTTTTATTGATGCTCTCTTCAGTTACTCCAGATGGTGTGTGGAAATCCCCGGCAGACACTCCTTCCTCAGTGCCATTATTCTCTCCTCCTGCCAAAGCTGCTACGTTTGGTCATGGTGGGAACAAATCATTTGGAGTATCTATTGGATCAGCCTTTTGGCCCAGCCATGCAGATAGTGCAGCTGAATCCTTTGCTTCAGCGTTTAACAATGAATCTACTGAAAAGAAGCAAACTAATGGAAATGTCTGTAGGCTTTTTGGGTTTGAGCTAGTTGAAAATGTTAATGTGGATGAATGTTTCTCTGCTGCCTCTGTGTCCGGTGCTGTCGCTGTAGATCAACCTGTCCCATCCAATGAGTTTGACTCTGGTCAGCAGTCTGAGCCGTTAAACATCAACCAATCTGATATTCCTTCGGGGAGTGATGACCCTGAGAATTCCTCTTTGAGGTCTCCTCAAGAATCACAAAGTAGACAGATACGTAGCTGCACAAAGGTGATTATTAGCCTCTTGTATCGCTCAATCTTTCAAAATCAATTTTTTTTTTTTGTTTTTGGGTCACAACTCCAATATTGGTCTTAAATTGTCAGACCGTGACTGCGTCTTGCTTTTGACTAAAACACAATGTTTTTGGCGATTTGATTTAGGTGCACATGCAAGGCAGTGCAGTTGGCAGAGCTGTTGATTTGACAAGGTCAGAGTGTTATGAAGATCTATTCAAGAAGCTGGAGGAGATGTTCGAAATCAAGGGTGAACTCTTAAAATCTACCAAAAAATGGCAAGTTGTTTACACCGATGATGAAGATGACATGATGATGGTTGGTGATGATCCATGGAAGTAAGTGCATTTGCGGTCTAATACTCACAAGAAACACAGCATTGTTTACAATTGCAGAGCATCATCTACTTTAATGTAATCCTTTTTCTTTACTGTTGACATTATGGTCTTCTGTTTTGTGATGCAGTGAGTTCTGTGGAATGGTGAGAAAGATATTCATCTACACACCTGAGGAAGTGAAGAAACTTTCACCGAAGAACAAACTCGCAGTCAATGCAAGGATGCAGCCCAAAACTGATGCAGAGGAAAATGGGAATACAGAGGGCAGGTCATCATCTATGGCTGGATCAAGATGAGTATATCACTGTTATGCTTTAAATGTACTTGCCACGTAGGAAAGATGAAAGCAGAAGCAAGAGATCGTTAGACAATGTGAAAATTGAGATGTCTGTGTATAGCAATGAAGTTTTATGTCTTCAGGTCCCATGAATTCACTTAGATGCAATGTGTTTTGAGGAGTTGTGTAGCTTTTGTACGGGAAAATGTGGAAATTAAGATTCACGTCTTGTTCTACGTTAACTGGTCATAGTCAAAAATAAAATTATGAAACTAAATCTCCTCTTGCTTTATAGTTCTTTGTTCACATTGTGAGACCTTAAGAATAAATGATGGTACAAACAAAATTCGTTGCTTTTGTTTCAATCTTGTTGCCAAGATGAGATAAGCACACGACATCACAAGTAGAGAGACGCTGCAAATACAATGTCTCTTTTGATCTTGGAAACAGCTTCTTCTAGTTTAGCTTCAAGCTGTGTTTCTCCTATAGATTTTGCAGCTACTATGAGCTGTTGCAGAACTTCCTCCATTCTCCTTATCGCTCTGATCAAGCTCCCTTCGAAAACACGAGCAATCTCCATGACCTCATAGAATTTCGACCCTTTTGCCCAAGCATGCACCGCCTCCATTATATCTGGTCTGAACGATTGAACAAAACTCTCCACATCGATTTCGACCTAACACATTGCCATACCAGACAAAGTTATGGACCAAAGCTCATTCAAATGGTCAAGTTTTCTTGGATGAGCAAGGAGAGAATGTGTTAGTGAATACCTTGCAGTCAAGCTGAAGTTCAGCAACACGCCTGGCTGTGTCCTGTAACTGTATGAATAGCAAGTCGAGTTCTTCTCTAGGTTTAGCGGCATCAGGGACTCTCTCTCGCCACACAAAGCAAGAGAGGAGCGAAACCAACTCCTCCACCTTTGCATCCTTGAAGATACCACTGAACATTAACTCCGTTAATGTCAATTCTTCTGCACTACTGATTTCACATGCAACCTTACCCTTCAACTCCACGACATTATCACTAGTGATGTATCTGCGTTTCAATAGAATAATAAAAAAAATTAAGCTAATAGAGTCATCAATGGAACATTACAGTCCTGTAACTTTAAAAAGAGCAGAAGAGAATGATGTAGCTGACGTATAAGATTGAGTTGGTTTCATAAGTATATTTTGAAAGTGAATGAAATGAATTTAGCAAATATTTACCCTAGTCTTCGTAAAACACGCTTTCTGGCTTTGAGTTCATCTTTAAACGCCAATGCTGTTGATGATCGGACAGTTTTTTTAAGTGACTTGATCTTGGCTGTTAGCTCTTCCTTCATGTGTAGAACTTTCAGCTTTTCTGTTATGAGGGGAGATTTCGCAATTTTGTGTTTTTCAAATAGATTTTCCAGAGCCTCCAACCGACGAACTGTCTTTTTGTAAGAGCTGCTCTTAATCTAATGAAGTAAAAGTTGTATTCATCTCTTGTGAGAAATGAAAGATAGCAGAAGCAGAAAGGTACTGGGGAGAAAACAAAATACCTTCATATCAACTTCAGGATCTAGGGGTATTCCATCAGGATGTCTAGCGAGTAACTCAGAAACCTTCTTCAGAGCATTCTCTCGAGCTTCCAGTGGTACAAGATCTTTTGGTATATTCATGATTGCACTGCTTAAACTCTTAATCTGTCCATGATGATAAAGAAAAACAATAAGATCATCAATAGCAGAATCAAGGAGGATGAGCCGCACAAGAATGTATAAGACATTATAAAGGACTACAAGACAAGAAAAGAAAATTAAACGGAGCAGCCATGATACCTGAGACAAAAGAACAGTGACCACAACAGGCTCACCACGTTCCTTAATTGGCACAGCCTTAACTTTCTTTTTGCCAACACCATCTTTGCTAACCATACATCTAGTCAATACATCTACAGAGTAGTTTGCATCCTCCGGTCTTCTATTATCATCATCTGAATTAATTACTCATGTCAAGACGAAATCATTATATTGTGTGAGCAGATTAATACCATTATACCAAAATTTAATTCTCAAGAGTTCCAACCTTCAGATAAGCTTTTGACTTTGTTAAATTTCATTATCACTCCCCATGTATCCTGGTCTTCAATGCTAAATGATTGTGTCTCTTCATCATCATTTGTGCAATCGAGACAAACAGCTCTGTTTGGCAGCAAAAAGGGTAAGCAGTACTTTGGAATGAACACAATTTCACGTATATCCTTCTTCAGACTCTTATATTGCAAAATCAGGTTATAGTAATTTTTTAAGCTTTCTTCTTCTTCAATCACCATAGAGTCTCTCTCTTCTTCCAGGGATTTTATTTGCTTCTGCGAAGACCAGGCCACAATCAGATCATACACAAAAAGTGAACACTATCATCAGGAAATCTAACATTTAGCATTTTGCAACTGCACCTCGAGATCAGGTATAGCACGGTCAGCTTGAAACTGAAAGAACGAATTGCGCAGAAGATTCTCAGGATCACCTTCTTCACACCGCAACTGATTTAGAAGCATGTTATAGCTTAAATGGAAGGCACTGGTGAATAAAGGAAACAAAACAGTCTTGGTGAGTGAATATGTCAAGATGTCTAACCCTCTTAAAGCAGACTATCAATCAGGGTGATAATTTTCTACCCTGATAATAAAATACATATTTGAAATACTTAACCATGTACCTGTTCAAAGAATCAGCACTTCCTTTGAGCATTGATTTAGCAACAGCGGGTTCCATTTTCTCGTCAACCATGAGGATGCAGATACCTCGTTTGTCAATACCTCGACGTCCAGCACGACCACTCATCTGTATGTACTCTCCACTTGATAGCCACCGGAACTTGTCTCCATCAAACTTACGTACATTGGTAAACACAACCGTCTTTGCCGGCATGTTCAATCCAATACTAAATGTCTCTGTTGCAAACAAACACTAAAAGAAAATACTTCAAACTTCAGTGGCAATGACATAGTAAGAACGCGTATACACAATCCAAAAGAGGAAAAACTTAAATCAAAGTGATGCATGCCAAAGAAACTACACGAAAACATCACAAAATCACATACCAAAAGGTAGCAAGAATTGACAATATGGAAATTGTGGTTCTGCGCATTCACCTACCTTAATAAGACCTTCCTGAAATAATATCTCAATTACTTCTTTCAAAATTGGAAGCAGTCCTGAATGATGAACGCCTATACCACGTTTCAAGATGGGTAAAATATTTGACACCTGCAGTACATGAAGCCATGAATTATGTCAATTTCCCCGCAGGACAAATATATTTAACAAGCCAAATCGCATCTGAAACTAGATCAACTACACAAGCACCAAGACAACCCTTTATGGAACATCAGATTTAAGGAATATAAGCTATTACATGGTAGTGAAAAGTATAATATCTAGGGAAAGCTCAATTTTTGTGCAAGAGGATGGCTGGCTACAAGGCAAACAAAATATAAAATAAAATATTGAGATAAAAGAGGCGACGAGATTAGTGGGAAATCCACTACTAGTAAGCCAATATACTAGCCATTTCCTACAGAGATGTGCACATGATCATCCTAGCCCACAGATAACCCAACAACATTAAAACATAATAATATGTTTCAAGAAGTTGTGGAAAGTATTCACAAAAGATATAGGTTAAGGCGCATTATACAAACACTAAGCATCTTAGAAAGAGCTTTAATGAATGCTTGCCTGAGGTAGCTTCTTATCATCATCTGAAAGCATATCAATTGCACTAGTAAAGATTGTCTCCACAGCGTCTTTCTCATCATCGCTGTTTAAATCCATCTTAGACATCTGTGGAACAAACAGACAGGCATTATACTCACGTTTTAGTAGTAAAAGAACGCAGACAATGAACTTCAGGTTGTAAAATACACATAAAACAAGACACGCCATAGAGTCATTGCAAGGTGCAGAAAACCACAGTAGAAAAATCATAAAAACAATTTTTGAACAGTCTATTCAGAGAAAAAAAATATGAAGAGTGCGCTGCTGCAATGTAATAACCAACTGTCAAGATTAAGAATGTAGAAACGTTTTTCATTCAGTGGTGGGAATAGTATACTATAGACAATTCTTGATTCAAGTGAGGGCTTCTTTTGCGACCCAACTCCTACAATTGATCCAAGATACCCAGAATACTCAGATCTTCAGCTACTAACTCTATTTAACCCCTATCAGGAATAACCGACTCCAGCAAGATATTTTTTCTGAGCTGGCTAAGACAAAACACCGTAGTCAATAGACTTTGCTAGTTTCTGAATCAATTGAAAACACACATGAACAGATATAATAACCAATATAGGTACCAAATCTGTAACGCCCCGACCGTAAAACTTGGATGCTACAACATCTTCACACAAGACTCCAGGAGCTTATAACAGTCCCTCAAACCCCATATTATTTTAAAAGGGATAAGACTGATCCCAAGCATAAAAAGAAGACAGAACAGAAAAGACCCAAGTTTTGGGACCAATTTTCTTATTTTCAGCAGAAACAAATTCAGATTCCTGTTTGGCTACTAGTTACAAACAAAGAACATACCCCAAATGGGATGAAATGATCATATGACAGCGCTAATATCTAGGGATTTTGAAAGAAGTCAAATAAAATTTTTTGCTGGTAAACGATATCTTTACTAGCACCAGACAAACAGAAGAGGAGGAAACTAACCTGCATAGCAAGTGCCTCGCATTCCTTTTTGCTGAAACTAAACAAAATTACGGGATCATATTGTCGCTGAATTATCATTTTCACCAATTTGAAAATATCACTTTCTTCACCAAGTTTTCCCATCACTAATCCCTTTTGAGACTTTCCATTATCTCTTTTCTTGTCACCCTCATTAGTCGGAACTAGTGCGTTAAGAGATTTCTGGAAGCTATCCTCGTGAAATTTAGCCTTTTCATCCACAACCAAGTAAAGTCCATTACCTCCAGCAGGAAAGACATAATGCTGAAGCGGAGTCGGCCGATAATCGGTGTAAACAATGTGGCATGGTTGTTGGTGAACCTACAATACCAATTCTATAATCACATCTCCAGAGCAACCACGCCAAATATAATAAAATTTCATTTGTTTTAAACAGGCTGTTTTACTATGGCGTACTCAAAGAAACACCATATATATATGAAAACTACATTGCATTTCGCCAAGTCATGTTTCTATTTCCTCCAAAATAAATAAAGATATGAAATCATAATTGTAAGTTGATATGAAAATGTATTCATCCATTCACAGAAGAGAGGTAGAAGGAGTAGCAAGCGTGAAATTACCTTTGCAACCCAATCAGCAAACTCCTTGGCATTGGGAACAGTTGCAGATAGAAACACAAAACGAGAATTCTTCGGAGCCATGACAATACTCTCTTCCCAAACCACACCTCTTTCGCTATCTCGCATGTAATGCACCTCATCAAAAATAATCCAGGCAACCTCCCGCATAATCTCAGACCCTTTATACTGCATACTACGCAAGATCTCCGTGGTCATGACCTGAAACAAATAACAAAAAAACTATGAACAAATAGCAAATAAGCAATCTCTGAGACAGAACCAAAAAGTAGTAAAGATACTTACAAGGCAAGAGGCATTAGGATCAATAGTAACATCTCCAGTCATCAAACCAACATCAGAAAACTCTTCTTTAAAATCTCTGTACTTCTGATTACTAAGTGCCTTTATAGGAGAAGTATAAATAACCCTCTGGTTTTCCTTCAAAGACATGGCAATAGCATACGACGCCACAACTGTTTTACCAGCTGATGTATGAGCTGAAACCTAAACATGAAACCACACAGTTTTACCAAAAGATGTAAACTTTACAGATTGATTAACCCATTCAATAACACTTGATAGTAAAGCTTGGAGCTTTGAAATCAGAGTAAAGCTTACCATGACTGATTCGCCATTATCGAGACACTTGATAGCTTCAGATTGGAAGGAGTCAAGTGTAAAGGGGAAATTTTTAGCCGGTGGTTTCGCGTGGACGGAGGGAGCAAGAGGAACGTAATTTTCAGGGAAGGAAACATCGTGAACGCAACCCACAAGCTCTTCGTTGATGATTTGGGAGGAATCGTCTTCTCTCTGAACCTTTTGCGGCGGAGCAGAATCAGAAGATACCTCCACTGATTTTCTCTTCACGGAACCCATGGTGTGTGTAGTTTTAGTTCTCCGCCGACGAGTAACGTTTCTTCCGGTGGGTTTTCACAAAACGAAGAAGATGAATACTTTCTCTCTCTTTGTCTCTCCACGTGCGTGCGTTTTAGGGTTTCCTTTAAGCCCAATTTTGTTTACTTAAGGCCCAATTGTTTTTTTTTTTTTCTCAACGAATAACGATAGGGGTTGGTTCATTATTATTAAATCTTTATAGTAAAAATGTCAAATGATTATTAAATCTTGGTAAATTACATGTGTTATTATCTCGCCTTGAACATGTTTGATTACAAACAAACACATCAAGAAATATCTAAGACTTTGAACAAACCATTTGCTTATCAAAGTAGCATTGAAAATGTCGCTATAAAATCTTTATACTCTTCTTAGATAAGTTATACACTTATATGAATTAAAAGATAAAAACACATGAGAATGAACAATCTTATCATAATTTGCAAGTTTACGTAAAACTCCTTATTGGTAAAGACTTCGGAAACTTTGTATAGCTTTTATGATGTCTTATATCATTGTCTCATCATAATTTGAATGCTCTGGACCGTACAAGACAAGCTTCCGAGCTTATTTATGAGAAATACCATATACTGTGGAGGACAACAACAGTTTTGGTATCACGCAAATTCCACAAAGCTCCATTTAACACAAGAAGATAATCAATTTGATAAACACAATAGAAAGCAGACCAAGTAACTTGTTTTAACACAGAACCAGCAACCTTAGTATGGTGGTGGAACAAGAGCCAATAGTTTGATTGGGAACCAAAACACATCAACACAATGCAAAAGAGATTATTATTATTACATTACAAGGATATATATATAGCCACAATCCAATTGAGAAGATATTAATTGACCTGAAAAACAAAGAGAGAATAACTGATTAAATTTCATGAAAGTACATAATCAAATTTGTTTTCCATCAAAAAAAATGAAGTCGAGTCATCTTCATTGGTTTTTTCTTTATGAAATTTTTTCTCAGATTATTGGACTCGGGAAAGAATATATTATTACCTCGCTGTCTTCTGGTTCTAGTGGCCAGTCATATCGAATAAGAGGAATGTGTTGGGTTTTATAGTAATCTTCTCCTCCTTTGGAAACCCTCTTCTGAAATTCTCTTTCCTTTGTGTAGAAACTCAATTCCTGTAATGAAGTGATAAATCTCAGCCCATCTGGAAGCTCCTTTAGCTTATGACACCAATGAATAATGAGAGAATGAAGAAGGGGCATGGAGCCTTCTTCTACTTTCCACTCTTCCCATTCATCTAGTCCACACAAATCGAGCTTCAGCAATTGAGGAAACCCACCGCTGGAGCAAACCATTTCCCTCCCAACATAAGCGTTCCACCATAAAGAAACCACTTTCAGTTGTAGCAGTTTCTCTAAAATTGGCATCGGATCCTCCTCCAAACGACAATCATGTAAAGATATGGTTGTAAGATGAGAAGGAAAATGTTGCACATCAGGTAACATCGGCCTATATATCAACTTCGGGTGTTTGAGATGAACGGAATTCTCGGGAGATCGTATAGTAAGATCTTCCAAGTGTCCCAATTTACTTAGAGTTGAAGATAGAGTTTCCATACGCCACCCCTCGCCACTGATAAAGATATGGAGACTCCTTAGCCTTGTCATACGGTGAAGATCCGTCGCATTGCTATTCTCTGTTGAGAAATACTTCAACGTCTCCAATTTGAGTAGATTACCCAATTCCAACTTTGTCCTACTAGTTGTACTCCATGGTAAGCAGAGATATCTCAGTTCTAGCATCTCTTTAAAGACATTGGGCACGTCATTCAGATGAGAACGTATATTTAGATTAAGATAGAGCAGCGACTTCAGGTTCCGCAAAGATGAAGGTAGATGAGTTACCTTTGCGTCATATAAACTCAAATACTTCAAGTGGATGAGCTTTCCAATGCTAGAGGGTAACTTCCCTCCCTCAAATTTAGCCCATCTGAGATCTAAAACCCTCAACAATGGTAACTCCATGAAGTTTGATCTCATCATAATCCAATCATACCCAACTGGAATAAACAAGAGAGATCTAAGTTTGGAATTCTTCATGTCCCTCTCTCCACTAAAAGTACGGGTGCCGTACACAACGAGTCTACGTGATTTGCTAGAAGCTTGAGAGTGTACGCTTGAGCTGCTGGCTGGATCACTAACAATCTTTACAAAGCTCTCTTCCTTGGCTTTTAACAAACAAATCTCTCTCATCAAGTCATGCAACTGACAAATTTCAAATCTCGAAGTCGCCAAGTCTCTTTGAGAAATAACCATATTTCTCTTCACTAACTCTTCTATGTAGAGATCTGCAACATCTCGAATGGAAGCTCCCTCGTAATGCCTAGGATTTGTTATTCCTTCTGCAGCCCAGACATAAGACAATCTCTCTAATTCTATTTCACGATCTTCTGGAAAAGAGGCTAGGTAGAGTAAGCAGTTCTTCAAATAATTAGGCAATCCTTCAAAGCTCAAAGACAGAACATGATTGATCGAACTGCTATCGTCATCATTGGAACTAATCCCACCTCCAACTATGTGAGATTTAATATTCTCAGATATCATTTTCCACTGACGTGGTGTGTGTTGGGCAGCTAACAACCCTCCTAACACTTTGACAGCCAATGGTAGTCCTCCACAATGTTTGATCATCTCCTTAGCCATCTCTACCATATCTTTATCAATTATATATCCTACACAACATTACGCAGTCAAATATCAATTAGCGTAGGATCTTCAATTTTAAGATATAGTGAAACTAGACGTGTTTGAGATATCGTAGATGGCTTTCTTAAGTATTGATTGAAAGATTCTAGTGATTTAGTGAGCTTGGTTCTTTCACTTTTTGAAATAATTTAGAATCATCAAAATATCTTCATGTTTTGATAAAAAGAATTTGTAATTTATGCTTGGTGACTGTCTAATTTGAAAATATGAGCTTAGTTTAACTAAGTGATTAACGAAGTAGTTGGTGTCATGGAAGTGGATTGACTTTGCTCGAGTGTTTCATATCCTAGGATTGAGTTTTATGAATAATGCCTTAGCATCATAATCCAGTTGTTAATCTAATTAACTAGTCAATTGTGTTACTCGTGATCCACTACTTTAAATATTGGCTCATCTGTGGTTGATTATGTTTATAGTCTTTTTACCTTTGTTTGCTTGATCTCGCTGAATTTACTTTAGTGTTCTTTTAATGGCTCTGTAAATTTCTATTGCTTTACTTGTTGGTTTATACTTTTTTTTTTTCGGACAAAGTTGGTTTATACTATGTTAGCATTTTCTTAAATAAAATAGTATGATTTTATGTATATATATATGGTCGGTTTATGTAAAGCTTACCAGTTGTGCCGTTCTTAGGAAATGCTATCATTTGTAAAAGTTTCCAACATTCATCAAGAGTTAGGCCTTCTGGTTTAAAGGTGACACATTGTGGATGTACATCATTATTGCGAGAAGTAAGCAGCACCTTCCAACCAGCTGCAATTAAGCAACATAAGTGTTTATGAGCAATTTGTGGCCCTTTGGATTATCTTCCTTTAAAGGGGGAAAAATATAGAAAAAGAAAATCTAGCTTAAGATGTCACCTTTTCTCTCTGGAAACATTCGCTTTATTGTGTCCCAGTCTGTACTTTTCCATACGTCATCAAAGACGATCAAAGCCTTTTTTGTTTCCAACAATTGAATGAGTTTCTCCTGAAGTTCGTCTTCATTCATATCAGAAATCTTCTTCCTTTGTGATATGTTCCTATCAGAAACTTCATCTGCAGGACTAAGACTCTGCTGTAGTTTGTCTTCCTTCATGTCAGCAACGTAATCTCCATGACTAAGATTCTTCAAGATGGTCTCCCACACATGCTTCCGTGTAAACTCTTGCGATACACACACCCACGCAAGTCCATCAAAATGACCTTTTACCTTATCATGATTAAAAACTTGCCGTGCAAGGGTGGTTTTGCCAAGACCACCTAAGCCAGTTATGGATACGCCAAGACTGCTATCGTTTCCCACCAATTCCTCAACCAATTTCTCAACATTTTTCTCCAAACCAACAAGATTGGTTTCAGATTCAATAGGAAATGTATGACGCATCTCCCTTTTTCTATCCTGTAGAGCCTGCAAATACCCACCTTCAATAATGTTTGATTGTATGCCTAAAGTCTGCATAACCTGGATTACTTTGGAGATTCTCGTACTAATGCTTGTGATTTCTAAGGCAGTCTTCCTATGACCACTTTGAATGCAAGCAAGACTACTCATGTGATTCTTGATGCCACTGCTTTTACTTCGTTCTCTCTTTAGAAGATAGGCTTCAATTATATCCTCAGCATCATAAGTGATTTCTTTTACCTCGTCTACGCAGTTTCTTGCAAGTGCAGTTGTTTGTTTCCTTGCATCCGCATCACTCAAAAAGGACATTAACATCTTCATATCACTCTTTAGCTCAGTGATTTGCTCTTCAACTCCCTGAAATCGCTCATAATTTTCGCTCACGAGTTCCCAAAGCTTTTCAACACCGAAAGATACAATTGCGTCAACCATAATTGTCCTGTTTTAGAGGAAACGTTAGTAAGGAAAGGAATTACTAATAGAAATGAGTAAAGGTAAAATTGTAAATTTTTTGTGATGAAATTGCGGGTGTGTAAATAATAATATATATTTAGCTTTACATATTAGATTACATGCTTTTATTATTATGTGTATTATATTTCCATTCGAAAAAGTTAGAGTGTTAAACGTCCAAAAATAAATAAATGAAAGCTTTTTGAGATTTTTGGATTGCGTGCTTTTATTAGTAAGCAACCCTCTAAATGAAATAGATGGTTTTTTCCTCTTACTTGTATCTCTGTAATTTTGGGATTTTCCATCATAAACCATTTCTAGACTACACCAATAATTTAGAACTTTGGGATCATAAATATCTATGTGTAACAGCAATCAGAGAAATAAGCAAGAGTCACATATCATCGTTTCAATCGATTCACACAAGGTTATTATTAACCAACGCGGAAACGACGACATTAGTATTAGTATTTATAATTGGCATCACAATTACAAAACAAGCTCTTTCGCAGAAGACGAAAATTTAGAACAAAGGCAGTTGACACACTCAACAACAATGACCAACGATAAAGTCATATTTAATCAATAATCAAACACCAAACACATATCAGGTTTTGTTTGTTATGTCCGGTTTTTGAGTTAGACTCGAATCCATTTAAACGCGGTTTGTTAAACGCCATTTATGGCCAATTATACGAAAACCAAAATTTAATCCTGTTTTTGTAGGATTTTGAAGATTTTGAAAGTTTGTGTTGCATTATGATGAGGCAAACAATGTAGGAGTAAATAGTTTGGGTAAAAATTATTGGGGTAGTTTAGAAAAGTCAACCCTTCAGAATATAACGTACAAAAGTGGTATTGTACTCTTTTTTTTTTTTTTGGGGTACTCTTAGATCAAAAGAAACCCATTTGAAGAATCTTAGTATATGTTGACAAACAAAAAAAAATGAATCGACGATTCAAGTTTCCTAAAACATGATCTAATAATTTTGCATGTTTTAAAAAGAAATAAAAAAAATCTAATTTAAAGAGTAGACTCGATTTGATCAAAACAAATACAGAAGAAAAACTTTCTGCAATCAGAAAAGAAAGAAACTTCGAAAGCAGAGTACATTCAATAACAAACAAACTGACTCACCTCACCTGTTGAAGCACTTATTTTCTCGTTGTCCTTTGCAAGAAGAAAGATGATTTTTCTTTGTTCTTTAGTTATGAGGTCTCAACTTATTATTATATGGGAGTAAGTTTGGACCCGGTAGCCAATAAGCCAAGTTGAAGATATTTAAATTAAAGTAAGACCGGGAAAGTAATAATATTAATAGGACCTTGTGCAGTGCACTTTAGAAACTTGGGTCAATAAATAAAAAAGACCAATAAACTATCTCGCCACTCTGCCTTCAAGCCGTCAACTCCGGTGCTTTAATCATTCTTTAATTATTTGATCCGTAATCTCCGTTAAATCTTAGTATTGACAAATTAAAAAAAAAAAAAAAAAAGGCTGGACACGATTACTTTTTACGCGCTTCGTACTTATGAGTTATGACTTGACTTTTACCCAGCTATCAAATTTTCAATACCCGCAAATAAAAGTCGAGTATGATTTTCAAAATTAGTAACTCATATGATCAAATTTATCGATTTTAGATTTTGATATTTGTTAAACAAAAATTTCTTTTTATTTATTTAAAAAAATATATAAAGAAACTATACACACATGTCAAATTTATCAACGTGTAAAACCTAAAAAAAATTAGTTTAGAAAAAAATTATAAGAAAATTATACGTATATATCTTATATTAAACAATTCTAAGAATCTAAAGAAGATAAATATAAGGAAACTAGATGTAGCTTATGAAATAAAAATAGAAACTTAAGAAAAAAATTAATAATGCAACTATACATATATATCTTATAAAAAAATAATTTTTAAAAAAGTAAAGAAGATAATTATTTTTTTTGGTAGGAGATAGTAAAGAAGATAATTATAAGGAAATAGATATTTCTTATTAAATAAAAATAGAAATTAAAAAATTATTTACTAATTCTAATTTAAAACTACTAATTTTAAAAGAAAAAGATTACTTTTTCCTTAAAATTAAAAAAGATTTATGAAATTATACAATCTTATTGTATAGTATGGTAATTAAAGAAATTTATAATCAATTGTTAATCCTAGAAGAAAAATGATTCTAAATGCTCACCTCTATGAAATAAACAAATAGATGGGGATGTGCCTTTAGTCAAGTGGTTAAGTCCATTTGACTCCGACTTCCCCACCGGAGTTCGACTCCACTAAGTCGCGTTACCCCGCGTAGTAGGAATTGGTTATGGATCGGGCCTTGTCGATACAAAGATGTCAAAAAAAAAAAATGAAATAAACAAATAAATAGATAGACAAATTAAGAATATATGGCGATGGAGGCAAATTAAGAATTATGAACGGCGATGGACATAGAATAGAGTTGTTGTCGAAGAAGCTCCACACGATGTCAGAGGAGATAAAGAAAGTGGAGAAATAAGAGCAGTTGGGGAAAGAGAGGAAGATGCGGTAACTGTGGTATTGATGTTGATGACGGTGGTTCAAGCTTGGTGGTGGTGACAGTAAATATTGATGAAGGTGGTGGATGGGAATTAGCGAGATTTTGTATTGATGGTTATGATGATTGTGATAGTTGTGAGATTCAGTTGTGGTGGTGGCCTGGTGGGTCGGAGTAGTGAGACTCAGTGGTGATGTCCGACGAAGGAGAAAAATAGTGATATGGAAAAAGAAAAAAAATATGGTGGTGAAAAAATCCAATGAGAGGGAGAGAAAGAAAAAGAAAGAGGAGATCGAGCAAAAATAAGAGAAATCTAATGAGAGAAAAAGAGAGATTTGAGACTTCTCGCCGGCGAGAATAAAGAAAAAAGAGACAACAAAGAACTCATGAGTAATATGGGCAAAAAAATGACAAAAATCTTATAGCAAATAGACATTGTTTAATTAATATTATTTTCGTAATTCTCTTTTAGTCTTAGGTTATTTAGTGCATATTCCCTAATTTCTTATGAATTTGTCTTTTTTGTTTTGAGGATTTCTCATATTATCAAGTAAAGTTACATGATGTGGATATAGACTTTCTCATATTGTCACAATTTTGTTTTCATCTTGCCCACATTGAAATTAGAAAGTGTTATGCACTCTTACGATGGATGTAGATAATTTATTAAAATTCAATAATATACATTCTGTAATATATAATAAACAAAACTATAAATAGTATTTTATATTGCACAATATGCATGATTAATCTATATTTAACAAATAATTAAAATACTATATTTCCTAAATTAAAACATATTTTTATATAACTTTAGTTAAACTTACAAAAATAAAAATTAAAAATGACAATTTTGAACGGTAACCCGTGCACGGATCCATATCTAGTTAAATATAAACAATAATATAATTACTTTACCCATTTTACCAGTTACCCATTTCTATAGAACAACAATATAACATTATCTTGTCCCACTGGTTTTCGAAGGTCTTTAGTCTTTCGAAAAAAGGATAGAAGCAATCAACACTTTATTGGGCTTGCTTCTTTTCAGTATAACTAGATATATTATCAAAAAGTCATACATTTAAATTCTGAAAGCCCAAATTTTCAAGCTAATATTATTTTTTCGGAAAATTGTCCAAAATAATCCTATTTATTTATTTTTAGACGTATGATATCCGAAACTTTTTGTTTTAAAAAATAATACACATACTAATAAAAGCGTATAATTTAATATCCATTAAATTAAATAATGTTATTTGTAGACCCGTAATCTCATAACAAAAAAAAAAATTCTAATTCTAGCCTTATTCATCTGTATTAATTATTAATATATATATATATAATAATAATAATTAATAAATAAAATATATAGAAATATTGTTTCCATTTCTTCTCCATATATATTTATTTTAAAAAATAAAGATAAATATATAAATTTCTTGACATAATCTGATATGATTTTGTTTTCTTCGTCCATTACAAAAATATAATCCAAATTTCAAATTCAAATTTTCAGCCACCAAATGCAAATATATGATAATTTGAGGGCCGATAACCCGAATCCAGAGGAATTGTAACCAAACGATCCAAACCTTTTTGCGGCTCTATTACGGGAAAACGGTATTTTTCAACCTCAACTATTTGCTGGCCCCAAGCATCCGTGGTCTAGTGGCAGAGGAAGTTTTGGGAAAGGGTGAAACTCCCAAACCTGAGTTCGATTCTCTCTGGAAACAAAAACACATTTGTTTGGGAAGTCTGTCAGTTGGACCTTGGCCCAATTGGTTTACCTGGTAGCCAGAAATGCAGGCGGCCTGACTACCCCTGGCACTTAGTCGGAAGGCATTCCAAACTCGGGATAGGCAGTCCACTATGTAGCACCTCGGTGCGTTCCTACCGGGGCCGACCGGATAGCCGATAGGGTTTATCAAAAAAAAAAAAAAAAAAAAACTATTTGCTGGCGGGTTTTTCCAACCCAAACTATGACCCTAAGTTGATTTCAACCCAAACCTAAAAATAATTTAAAATCGAAACATGAACTAATGCAAATGAGCCGATTTCAACACGACGCGAAACGGTGTTAGTTTAGAAGTTAACGGTTGCTCAACCTTGGGTAATTCTCTCTCTACAGTATTCAGCAAACCCTGAAAATAAAATCAAATAACCTTGAGAACCGTAAACTTCCGAACTAACACTGTTTCGCGTTGTGTTGAAATCGGCTCATTTACATTAGTTCAGGTTTCGATTTTGAAATATTTTTGAGTTTGGGTTGAAATCAACTGGGGGTCATAGTTTAGGTTGGAAAAACCCGCCAGTAAATAGTTAAGGTTGAAAAAGGCCGATTTTCCTCCATTACTAAGCTTGAGACATACATGAAGTCGGATTCATATTCTGTCAAGAAAGATAACATTTTTTTGTGTTTATTTAATTGTTACTATATTATTTTTAACATATATTATATATATGTTAATAATTAATAGAAATGAGTAAAGGTAAAATTGTAAAAAAAATTTGTTATGAAATTGCGGGTGTAAAAATAATAATATTTAGCTTTATAAATTAAACTGCATGCTTTTACTAGGATGTGTATTACATTTCCAATCGAAAATGTTGGGGTGTTAAACTTCCAAAAAGTAAATAAATGAAAGTTTTTTTTGGATTTTTCCCTATGTTCAAACCTCTTTGCTTCTTTATATTATGATGTCTGTAGGGTTTTGTACAACATCTTAGATTTGGAATTGAGTTTTACTAAAAAGCTTTTAAGCCTTGAAAAGAAGATTCTCAAAATATATTGCTTAAACGTCACGATTCAACGTTCCAAGCAAGATCATAGCTTGATCAACCTTATATCCTGTACAACATTATCAAGTAATAACCATTCTCTGTTTGGACCTAAGATATGGTTTGATTACAAAAAAAATTCCGTAGGATCATGCCTAAGGCTGTAAAAATGCCTATGGCCGAGGAAATTAAAAAATGCCTAAGGCTGTAAAAATGGGCTTTATTCTTTAATTTTTAATAAGAAAAACGAAAATGGACTCTCAAAAATAATATTTTTGGCCCCTTACCTAACATTATTAAATAAAAATGGCCTCTTTTGCTTAAGAAATGTTTTGAAAATGAAAATGAACCTCTCGGCCAAGACCCCTCCATCCACCATACTTGATTTGGTCCCAGTCCTGTTCTTTCTACTACAAGAAAACTGGGAATTCGCGAAAGACTTGCCAGTCTCCAATAACCCGAAGAGTTTTCCCTGGAGCTCGCCCTCAGTCATCTCTACCTCTCTATGTTCATCATGTTTTGGACTAAGCCTCTCCAAGATGGTTTGCCACACCCACATATGTTTTCTTGTAAACAGCTGTGAAACACAAATCCAACGAAATCGTTTTTTTTACCTTATCGTGATTAAAAACTTGTCTAGCGTGAGTAGTTTTACCAAAAGCTTCCATCCTAGTTATAGAAACCTCTAGAATGCTATCTTCCTTCACCAAATAGCCAACCAATTTCTTAACATTCTCCTTCAATCCCACAAGATGATTTTCACTATTGCTGAGAAACGTTTTTTGCATCTCTGAGAGATGATCTCCCTTTGTCATTCTTGAAGAGGACGCGAATTTCACATCCCCTTTGTCTTTCTTGTAGAGGATGTGAATATCCGCCGTCATGGACAAATCATTTGTTGCACCCCAAAACTCTACATATCTCGTATCACCTTGGAGTTCCTCTTACTAATTTATACCTCTCATATCTGAAGCATTTTCCATGTGGTCCACTAAAATACAAATGATCATGTGGTCAACTATAATACAAGAAAGTCCTTTAAGACGATTCTTGATGCCACTTCCTTCTTAACATATGTAAATTTGCAATTTGTTTCAAAATGTATATACAACCAAAATGGAAAAGATTATGATTCTATGATATACTCTATATTTACTGCTTTCTTATCGTTGTTAAGTTCAATTTTACTGTGTTTCATTAGTATTTTCATTGTGTTTTGTTGCATTTAGTGTCCAAGTGAGTCTTCATGCATTTAGAAGTCCTATAGTGTCTTTTTGTGTATTTTGGTGTGTTTTGTGTGTCTTTTGAGCTATTTCATGTAAAAATAATGGAGGACACACATTTGGATGCAAAGAAGAGAAATGACATTCAGAACCAGTCCGAAATCCTTCAAAGATCGACTCATATAAAGATCTTTTATTGAGATTTAGCTTCGGAGCTATTTATGAAACTTATAGGAAACTGAGTTAGCTTTCCAATGGATGTGATTTAAGGCCAATCATAGCTACGATGCAAGAGTTATGGTGGTTTTAGTGGACATATATCACTCTGGCGCGAAAAAGAACAAAGGAGGAGCCACCGAACATTTCAATCGACCTGTTGGTTGATTTACTGATCGATTGGAACGAGAACAGGCCGCACATGAGAGGCAGTCGAGGGAGCAATCGACTGATGCATCTGTAGAAGCTTTTGGGTTTGACCCGGTTTATCTCGGATCGACCCGGTTCGATCCTATTTTGTATATAAGCAATATTTAGACATCTTATAACCTAAGTTTTATTCTCTAAAGTTGGATTTAGATCCAAAATCTCTTCTTGATGTTTTGGATTGAACTTCAACAATTCATGCCACTTTAGTGAAGGATTCTTCATCTCTATCTTTTATCTTTATGTTTATGCATTTCTCTTTTCTCTTTCCACCATGTTTAGTATTTAGTCTTTTTGTTTGATCATGGTTTATGCTAGATTAGGATAATTTGATAGTTAGATGATGATGATCTAGGTTTCTTATTGTTAGATCCTTCATCTAGGTTGCTCTTAATGCTAGGGTTGACAATGAACGACGTGATACTGCTGTTGTTACCCGTGAAGCAGAGCATTTCTGAGCTGTGGCGCGGCTGAGCAAGAGGACAAGCTCGAGCACTTGTCCTTGTTAAAGAAGTACATGCGAGCAAGTGATCCGGCCTTTCTGGACTTCATGGAGACACATTCTGCTCCAACAACCACAGAGCCTTTCTCTCAATCGGTCTTCCAGCAACAACTCCATCTGCTTCTTAGGTTATCACTTTCCTTTTCATATCTTTCCTAAACTTTTCCCTATCAAGAACTTGTCTGTTCTCAAGAACTTGTCTGATCTTTTAAAATACTTGTCTGTTGTATTTGCTACTTAGGTGTTCTCTTTTCTATTTATTTGAAACCTTTTTGGTTTCATGGTTTATGTTAAGACCCATATCTATCTGAGATGTTATTTAAGTTTGATTTGGTTTCTTTTTTGTCTTGTTTGTTTGCTTTAGAGAATCTTGGTTTCAAATTGAGATACAAAACAAATTACAACCGGAAAAAACGAAATACCAAATAATTATTTTGCCAATAAATATAGTCGTTTAATAGTCGTTAAATTAGTCCGGCAAATTGTCGCAAAGTAGTCATTGCAACTTCACCAAACACTCTTATGTACATCATTTTTAATCGTAAACTAGTCGTAGCGTAGTTTTAACATTTAACGACTACGTTACGAATACAGTTACGACTATTCATATTAGTCGTAGTGTAGTTGTTAATTAACGACTATATTTACGACTATAAACTTAAGTGACTCTCGTTTTACGACTATATGTTTTAGTTGTAACGTAGTCGTAAACAAACATTTAACGACTTCTTCTGCAGTCGGAAAAACCCTGTTTTCTTGTAGTGAATTTACATGGTAATTTGTTGTTTCTCAAATCTCTCATTCTTCATCTACACTAGAGAAATAAAACATAAGAAATGTGTAGGACTTTGTAGTAATCTTCTCCTATTTTAGACAATTTGTCTGTCCATTTCCTCTTCGTAAATTCAGTTCTTAGTTTTCTCATGGAAGTAATGTATCAGGAAAATCCTTTTTAACTTTTGGCATTACCCAATAACCAGAGTCTCAAGAAGTGGCATTGATCTTTCTTCTACTATCCATTAATCCAGTTCAAGTTGTTCAAATTGCGTATGAATTCGTCTAAGCCGTTAGTTCGATTTTTCAAATCTTAAACCGAATTAAACATTATATAAACAATTGATCACGTGTAATTTCAAAAAAAAAAATATTGGATAAACACAACAGAAAGCAGACCAAGTAACTTGTAACAATGGCTTACGGGACAAATACCATGATAATTCGGAAAAAAAAAACAGAACCTACAACCTGCATTTTTGTTTTTAGTATGGTAGTGGAACAGTAGCCGATAGTTTGATTAGGAACCAAACACATATCAACACAATGCAAAAGAGATTATTATTTTATTATAAGTATATATATAGCCTCACAGTCCAACGGAGAAGATATCAATCGCTCTGAAAAACAAAGAGAGAATAATAACTAGTTAAATTTCATGAAAGTACATAATCAAATTTGTTTTGCATCAAAAAATGAAGTTTAGCCATCGTCATTTGTTTTCTCTTTATGAAATTGTTTCTCAGATTATTGGACTGGGAAAATAATATTCTATTACCTCGTTGTCTTCTGGTTTTTGTGGCCAGTCATATCGAATAAGAGGAATGTGTTGGATTTTATAGTAATCATAACAGATAGAGCCCAAACTTTAAACCCGGTTTATATGTCCATAAAATAAAAGTTTTATCCCTATTTCCCCCCCAAATTGAAAGTTCTATTGCTTAATGTCTCCGAATCAATAGTTCTAGAGCTAAAACCCCACAAAACTGGATTTAATCGGTTTACAAACTAAACCCGATAGAAAACCACACAAATTCAATATAACCAAAATTAAAACCCGACCCATTTCAAAAACCCGACCATTTGTCACCCAATTTCTTCTTCTTCTTCACCAAACCATTTTAATGGCTTCACGATTTGGATGGGGATGAGATCATAACAATTTTTCTACCTCACCTTTCTCCGTAATTACTCTCCAGCCTCCGATTAAGAGTTCTCTTCTATTCATTCATGGTGTTTGAATCACCGAAGCTAGCAAACATTCTCTTCTTCTTTAACGTCAATGTGCTCTTCGGGGCCATCGGTTTACTCTAATCTAGCCACTAGGTACGCATCCATGATCTCCAAATTTGTTACCCATTTCTCAATTTGACCTCTTTCTCAGTTTTGCAAGTTGATCTCTTTCCCAATGGGTACAACAATGACGGAAACATTGGAGAAGTAACAACAATGGAACATATTTATTTTAGATTCATTAGGCAAAATGAGAAATCAAGACAAACAATCGAACAAGTTCAAGAACAATTCAAGTAATAACAAACGATCTCATATTAATCAATGGCAAAAATCTCAATCTAATTATCCTTGATTTCACTCAAAGGGATCGGAGAAAAAAAACAAACTCAGAGGAAGAAGATGAAGAATCAATGACAAAATTAAAAGAGGACTCAGAAAAGTTTAAAGCACAAGTATAAGTAAAATTAGACACTGTTGTTGAAGCGAAGAGGAAGACGAAGAAGTTCGTCTCAGATTAGGGATCTGCTTCAGCTCCGATTATTTTGTTTCATCAAGTCATGTGTTGGGATGACGACGACGAACGTCGGTGGTGGTGGCTCCGCCGTGGAATTGCTCCGCTGTGGAATTGGATAGTCATTGGTCTCGATTTTGGGTACTGTGAACCTGTGAGGTTGAAGAACACCAACAATTGATTTTGTTTCATAATGGAGAGAGTAGAAAATGATGGGTCTAAAATCAGAAAGAGATTTTAATCATTGGAGGAAGATTGGTAAAACGAGATTATCTGTTTCATCTCTGATGTAGGATGACGAAGATGATGATCATTCACCGAAAAGGGTTTGAAATCGGGTTTATTAGAGAATCGGTTTATAGTCGGGTTATTAGAGAATCAATTGTAATCGGGTTTGGATTAGGTTTAATCCGGTTTATTATTTTTGTAAATTGGTTTAGCAGACATTAAACCGAACAAAACCAATAGCTATGGATAATTAGATGAGAACTATTATTTTAGGGAGATATAAGATTTAAACTATCGATTCGGGAATATATAGATCGAGAAGTATCATTTTAGAGACATATAGATCGGGGTTAAAGTTTGGGCTCTATCTATTATGATGTCATACTTCTCGTGGGGAAATAGACCGTTTTTCCGGAACCAAACACATATCAACACAATGCAAAAGAGATTATTATTTTATTATAAGGATATATATAGCCTCACAATCCAACGGAGAAGATATCAATCGCTCTGAAAAACAAAGAGAGAATAATAACTGGTTAAATTTCATGAAAGTACATAATCAAATTTGTTTTGCATCAAAAAATGAAGTCGAGCCATCGTCATTCGTTTTCTCTTTATGAAATTGTTTCTCAGATTATTGGACTGGGAAAATAATATTCTATTACCTCGCGTTTTTGTAGTCACATCGAATAAGAGGAATGTGTTGGATTTTATAGTAATCTTCTCCTCCTTTAGAAACCCTCTTCTGAAATTCTCTTTCATTTGTGTCGATTCTCAATTCCTTCAATGAAGTGATAAATCTCAGCCCATCTGGAAGCTCCTTTAGCTTATAACACGAACGAATAGAGAGAGAATGAAGAAGGGGCATGGAGCCTTCTTCTACTTTCCACTCTTCCCATTCCTTTAGTCCCTGTATTGAAAGCTCCTGTAGTTGAGGAAACCCGCCGGTGGAGCAAACCATTCTCCTCCCAACATAAGCGTTCTGCCATAAAAAAACCACTTTCAATTGTAGCAGTGTCTCCAGAATTGGCATCGGATCCTCCTCCAAACGACAATATTGTAGAGATATGGTTGTAAGATGAGAAGGAAAATGTTGCACATCAGGTAACATCGGGTGTTTGAGATGAACGGAATTCCAGGGAGATTGTATAGTGTCCCAATTTACTTAGAGTTGAAGATAGAGTTTCCATACGCCACCCCTCGCCTCTGATTAAGATATGGAGACTCCTTAGCCTTGTCATACGGTGAAGATCCGTCGCACTGCTATACTCTGTTGAGAAATTCTCCAACGTCTCCAATTTGAGTAGATTACCCAATTCCAACTTTGTCCTACTAGTTGTTTGTGATGGTAACCAGAGGTATCTCAGTTCTAGCATCTCTTTAAAGACATTGGGCACGTCAGTCAGATGAGAACGTATATTTAGATTAAGATAGAGCAGCGACTTCAGGTTCCGCAAAGATGAAGGTAGATGAGTTACACCTGTCCACTCTAAACTCAAATACTTCAAGTGGATGAGCTTTCCAATGCTAGAGGGTAACTTCCCTCCCTCAAATTTAGCCCATCTGAGATCTAAAACCCTCAACAATGGTAACTCCATGAAGTTTGATCTCATCATAATCCAATCATACCCAACTGGAATAAACAAGAGAGATCTAAGTTTGGAATTCTTCATCTCCCTCTCTCCATAAATAAAAGGAATTGTACAATACACAACGAGTCTACGTGATCTGCTAGAAGCTTGAGAGTAAACGCTTGAGCTGTTGGCTGGATCACTATCAATCTTTATAAAGCTCTCTTCCCTGGCTTTTAACAAACAAATCTCTCTCATCAAGTCATGCAACTGACAAATTCCAAATCTCGAAGTCAACATGTTTCTTTCAGAAATAACCAGATTTCTCTTCACTAACTCTTCTATGTAGAGATCCGCAACATCTCGAATGGAAGCTCCCTCGTAATGCCTAGGATTTGTTATTCCTTCTGCAGCCCAGACATAAGACAATCTCTCTAATTCTATTTTATGATCTTCTGGAAAAGAGGCTAGGTAGAGTAAGCAGTGCTTCAAATAACTAGGCAATCCTTCAAAGCTCAAAGACAGAACATGATTAACCGAACTGCTATCGTCATCATAGGAACTAATCCCACCTCCAACTATGTGAGATTTAATATTCTCAGATATCATTTTCCACTGACGTGGTGTGTGTTGAGCAGCTAACAACCCTCCTAACACTTTGACAGCCAATGGTAGTCCTCCACAATGTTTGATCATCTCCTTAGCCATCTCTACCATATCTTTATCAATTATATATCCTGCACAACATTATGCAGTCAAATATCAATTAGCGTTGGATCTTTAATTTTAAGACGTGTTTGAGATTTTGTAGATGCTTCTTTAAGTTAAAGGGTTTAGAGAGTTATGATATTATAGTAGAAAACGATTTACTTAATTGAGGATATGGAAAGAAAAATCTCGCAAATTTTGATTGGATCAATGATTCAAGTGATTTTTAGTGGTTGGGTTCTTTCAATTTTTGAAATCCTTTGGTATATATATATATATATATATATATATATATTTCCCCCCTCAAATAATTAAGGTCAATTTCCAAAAAGAAATTATTTTTTTTTGTTATGTTTTCCAAATTCACCACTAAAATCTTAAAATTCCAAAAATTTGACAATCTTCATGGAAGGTTATTAGAAGTGTAGGAAAAGTATACAAAGTGATTTAGGAACACATACACAAATTTCTAGATGTCCTTTATAAAGTTGTGATAAGTGATAATTTTGAAACTTTTGGGGTTTTGTTGAATTTTCCGGGATCAAGAGCTCCAAGAACTAGGTGTTTGGTATCGCTCAAGTTTGTTACACTAAAATTCATGTGGTCACGAAATCATGTTTTGTTTGAATTTTGAAAGCTATTTCTAAATTATATATAATTTGAGTATCATTTATTTTATTAATTATGCTTTAATGATTAGTAATATAGTTAACTTCAAATTAAATAGCTTTTCTAGGCATTAATAGTTAAACACATGTTAATCTAAAACTATTGGTATTTTGGATCCAAAAAGTGTATTAGAAAGTATTAGTTCGGAAGTTAATGGTTCTCAAGGTTATTTGATTATATTTTCAGAGTTTGCTGAATGCTGTAGAGAGAGAATTACCCAAGGTTGAGCAACCGTTAACTTTCGAACTAACACCGTTTCGCGTCGTGTTGAAATCGGCTCATTTGCATTAGTTCAGGTTTTGATTTTGAATTATTTTTGGGTTTGGGTTGAAATCGACTGGGGATCATAGTTTGGGTTGGGAAAACCCGCTAGCAAATAGTTGAGGTTGAAAAATGTCGTTTGCTAAACAAACAGTTATAGTAATTAAATGAAGTTGACTAAATATTGTTTTAAAATATTTAACATAAAGATTAATAAAAAAATTATTTCTGAATATACTCTCTCCGTCACACAAAGATAGATTTTGTAGAAAAAAAATTTGTCTCACAAAGATAAAAGTTTTGTGTTTCCAATGTCAAATTTAAAACAGTTTAACTATTTTACCTTTATTAAACAACAATAAATAATATACTCTTTAAAATATGTTAAAATGTTAAAAGGTTAAAATTGTCATTATACATTATTTCTTAATAAAATGTGAAATATCTAAAATATCTATCTTTGTGGGACGGAGGGAGTAGTTTATAAACTTTATTTTAAATTAGTAATTTGTATTAATTAAAAATTAAATTGTACTAGAAATTTGGATTAGAAGATGAAATTTTGTGAGAATACATATATGTTATGTGTTGTATGTGCATGTCTTCTTCTTCTTTTTTTGTTAAATACAACTGAGTCGTAAACATGGGCGGAGGCAGCATACAACCATGGGGGTCAACTGACCCCGGTGAATTTTTAAAATTCAACTAATATTATGGCAAATTTAAACAAGTATGTAGATATTTAAGAAAAATCCTATAAATTGACCCCAATGCCCATTGTGAAAACCAATCTTTTGACCCTTTAATACATAACTTTTTTTAATATTGCAAAATGATATGAATTATAACCACTAATAATTATATATAAGTTTATTTTTAATTTTGTGAATAAGTGTTTTCATTTACTTCAATAGCATTTTCTTTGATTACTATAAATCTATATAATTACTTTTATTCCACTATACTTTTATTATTTTTGCTTTTATCTATTCTTTTTTCCCATTTATAATTGTCTTTTATGTATATCAATTATCATGTTTTATACAACCAAACTTTTCTAGAAATACCAAAAATTATTATTTAATTATAAAACATAAGTTATATACTTATATGCAATATAATTTGAAAAAAAATCACATCTATTTTATTAAAAAATGATTTTTATATTTTGACCCCGGTAAAAGAAAATTCTAGCTCCGCCACTGGTCGTAAAGTTTTGTTAAATCATTCAATATAAACATTTCTTAATTTTTCACGAGCTCTCTCTTCCTCTTGCCTTTTTCTTATTGTTAATATTTCTCGAAACTCATTTTTCCCTTTTTACTTTTTTTTTGTTTTGTTTTGCAAAACCTATAGATGAGGGAAGTTTGTGAGAATAATTTGAGTAAAACATAGTGTAGTTTTATAATATAGCATTTATAAATAGTCGGTTAAAAAAATTCTTACCAGTTGTTGTTTCCTTCTTAGGAAATGCTATATATCATTCGTAAGTGTCCAACATTTATCAATTTTATTTTAATTTTTAATAATAATTGATTTTGTGGCTTTGTTTGAGTTTGTGAGAATACAAATATGTGTTGTATATGAAATTCTTCTTCTTTTTTTTTTTTCATACAATTGATTTTGTGGCTTTGTTTGAGTTTGTGAGAATATATATGAAGTTCTTCTTTCTTTCTTTTTTCATACAATTGATGGCTGATCTGGGCCGTACAGCTTTGTTCAATATCATTCTATTCAAACGTTTCTTAATTTTTTTTCATGAGCTTCTATATGTTTATTTTTTTACTGAAATTTACATAGTTTGATACAACTCTAAACAAAAATAACTAGAGTAACACCCAAATATTATGGTTTACTAGAATAACACAATTTTTTGTTAAAAGACCAAATACCCATTTTATTTTTAATTTTATTAAAATAAAATAAATAACATACAATAACTAAATTAAATAGAAAATTAGAAAAAAAATACAAAAAGGAAAAAAATATATAAAACGAAAAAATGAAAAAAAGAAAAAAATATAAAACGAAAAAATATACAAAACGAAAAAAATATAAATCGAAAATATATATATATATATATATATATATATATATATATATATATATATATAACGATAAAAGAATTAATCTAATCATATATTAACGAAGAGACAGCCTCACATGAGCCATCTAATATAAATAAGTCTGTCGTGGTAAGAATATGTATGTCGTTACCTTATTATGCATATTAAAATTCTATTTTCATTAACAAAACTGTCATCATACGACAGATTCTTTTATAACCTAGCTGAAATCTATCATAATATAAAAAAATCTGTCATGACATAAAACATTTCGGTTACGAGTATATGTCATTCTAGCAATTTATTTTTATATAACAAATCTGCTAACACACTCCAGATTTTTGTTATAAAATTTTTTTGTCATAATAGAAAATAAATCTATTATCACTAATAAGTCAAACTAATAATTATTTTTCATTAAAAAATCTGTTACATTACGGCAGATTTTTATCGAAAAATATAAGTCTGACACAACGAAAATAATAAATCTGCTACACATTTAATAAATCTTTCAAAATTACGAAAGTTCGTGGTATCATCATAAAATAAGTCTGTCGTGGGAAAAAAATGTGCTACAAATTAAATATATATCGTAACTTATTTCAAGCAAGTTTGTGGGAAAAAAAATTTGTCGCAAAAAATATGTCTGTAGTGGAAAATAAACCTGTAACAACTAACCCAACAGACTTTTTAAATAATTTTTTTTTCCAACGTTTTTAATATATTTAAGGGTAATTTTGACTTCTATTTTTTCTAACAAAGAGAGAAAAGATATTATGGTCATGAATATAACTTATTTAACCTCCAATTTTTTTTAGGGAAAGTTACTAGATTGACCCAAATAATGACTTTAATTACTAGAATGTCTCATAAAATTAGAGGGTTAGATGGGTTATTTTCATAACGATAATACCCTTTCTCTCTTTGTTAGGAAAAAAAAAAGTCAAATTTGCCCTCAAATTTTTTTGAAAAACGTGAGAAAAAAACTTAGGAAATTTTTTTGGTTTTTTAAAAGTCTGCTGGATTCGTTATGACAGGTTTATTTTCAATGGCAGACTTATTTATCAACGACAGATTTTCTGTGACAGATTTTTTATCTCTCACAGACTTAATTTAACAAGTTATGACAGATATTTATTTTGTTGTAGTTTTTTACTCCACTACAGACTTATTTTTTTATGACACCACAGACTTTCATCACTTTGACAGATTTATTAAAATTAGTGGCAGATTTATGTTTATAGTGGCCTCAGACATTTTATTTTTATAAAAATATCTGTCATCACGTGACAGATTTGTTTTTGGAAAAATAATTACTAGAATGACTTAGTAGTGATAACAGATTTTTTTAATGTTATGACAGTTTTTATTTTTTAAACAAAAAAACTGTCGAGTGATAGCAGATTTGTCATACAAAAAAAAAATTGCTAGATTGACATACAATCGCAAATGAAATATTTCTGTGATGACAGATTTTATTCACATTACGACAGATTTAGGATTAGTTCAAAAAAAACTGTCACATTACGACAGATTTAGTGATGAAAAAAAAATTGCTGGAATGACTTCATATAGTGATGACAGATATGTTTTAAGCAATGACAGATTTTAATTTTTATTCATATTATGACAGATTTTATATATCTATTTGATGACAGACTTTCCATGATGGACTACATATTTTAAGAATGACAAATCGTAAGTCTTCGTCGGAGTCGCGAAAGTGACTGAGTTTTAATCAATGAGGCTGAGAAAAAAACGTGAAAGGCAGTCGTAATTTAGGGCTAGTTGTTTTTTTTTTTTTTTTGTTTGGGTTTTGTAATTCTAATTTAAATGTTATATTGTTTGATTTTTTTTAAAGCCTAATAAAATTGAATTGGGTTTTTGGTCATTTTACCCAAAATTTGTGTTAGTCTAGTAAACTACAAAACTAGGGTGTCAATCTAGTTATTAATCTCTAAATTTGAGTCAATCTGGGTAATTTTCAGTTTTTTTTAGACACTCTAATAATTAAACTCAGAATTTGGGTTAATTTAGTAACTTTTTTTAATTGTTAATATTTCTCGCAAAGCAGGAAGCTTAATACGAAACTCATTTTTCCTTCTTTATTCTTTTTTTTTTTTTCTGCAACACAACTATAGGTGAGGAAATTATGTGAAAATAAATTGTGTAAAACATAGTGTAGTTTTATAATATAGCATTTATAAATAGTCGGTTAAGAAAATGCTTACCAGTTGTGTCGTTCTTAGGAAATGCTATCATTTGTAAAAGTTTCCAACATTCGTCATGAGTTAGGAGTTCTGGTTTGAAGGTCACAGAATGTGGATGTATTGCGTCGTTGCGTGAAGTAAGTAGTACCTTCCAACCGGCTGCAATAAACCACACAAAAGTGTTTGTTAGGAATTTGTGTCCATGTTATCTCTTTTCTTAGATAAAATCAAATGGTAACATATCAGATTAGCCTAATTATTATATATGCACTAAATAAAAGAGGTCACCTTTTCTCTCTGGAAACATTGGCTTTATTCTGTCCCAGTCTTCTTTTTTCCATAGGTTATCAAAGACGATCAAAGCTTTTTTTGTTTCCAACAACTGAACGAGTTTCTTCTGAATATCGTCTTCCCGCAAGTTTGAATCTTTTTCTCCAGGACTAAGATCCCTCAAGATGGTCTGCCACACATCCTTCCGTGTAAAATCTTGTGATACACACACCCACACAAGTCCATCAAAATGACGTTTTACTGTATCATGATTAAAAACTTGCCGTGCAAGGGTGGTTTTGCCAAGACCGCCCAAGCCAGTAATAGATACCCCGTGACTGCTATCATCATTTCCCACCAATTCCTTAACCAATCTCTCAACATTTTTCTCCAAACCAACAAGATTGCTTTCAGACTCATTGGAAAATGTATGACGCATTTCCCTTTTTCTATCATGTAGAGCCTGCGAATACCCACCTTCAATAATGTTCGATTGTATCCCAAAATCTCGCATAACCTGGATCACTTTGGAGATTCTCTTACTAATGCTTGTGATTTCTAAGGCAGTCTTCCTACGACCACTTTGAATGCAAGCAAGACTTCTCATGTGATTCTTGATGCCACTACTTTCACTTCGTTCTCGCTTTAGAAGATATGTTTCAATTATATCCTGGGCATCGTAAGTGATTTCCTTTACGTCGTCCACACAGTTTCTTGCAAGTTCAGTTGTTTGTTTCCTTGCATCCGCGTCACTCAGAAAGGACATTAACATCTTCAGATCACTCTTTAGCTGAGTAATTTGCTCTTCAACTCCCCGAAATCGCTGATAATCTTCGCTCACGAGTTCCCAGAGCTTTTCAACACCGAACGATACAATTGCGTCAACCATAATGGTCCTGTTTTAGAGGAAACGTGAGTAAGTATTAAATTAGAGGTAATGAAGAGGAAACCATAGCAAGGAAAGGAACCATCCTCTCATTGATTTTCAAACTGGCTACTTGCATTTCTATTATTAGCATACATGAATACTTAGAATTGCACACATGTCACACATGTCACATGATTCTATATAGGCCTCGGATGAAAATCAGACGGAATTGCACAAACCGAACTGATTTGCCTGAACCGAACCAACTTAGAATTGGTTCGGTTTCGGTTATTGGCCAATAATAAATCCGCATGAATTATAATTAGATTCGTTTATTTCTTCAGTTTGGTTCGATTCATTATAACAGAATGGTTAACCAATATTCTAACCCTAAATTTCTTCGTTCTTCAGACTAGCTAACCCGCCGTCGAACGAAGATGGATCCACAGATAGCGGTCAAAGCGTTAAAACTTTTGTCTCGTCCTCAACCTTTTTTCTTGGCTTCAAATATAATTTGATTTAGTAATGTTCTTTTATTTAATATTTATAAAATTCAACATTTTTTTAGTGTTAACTATATTGTACCGCAGGCAATACAATCCGAAATTTCATATTTCTTCGTCTAGTTCGATCAAATCACAATGACACCTCGACCGCGCAAGCATCCTATCGTAGATCGGTCCAAATATATAAATGTAAGATGTTTGTTACGAATCTCAGATTTGAAGTGACATAAAACTTAAATTATATATATATATATATTAAGTTTGATAACCAGAAAGTTATCTAGTCTTTTACCATTCAATTAGTCTACCAGGGTGAGTAAACCGTCAAATAGCCTATTTTTATAATGCTGACTATATATATTTTTAATAATGTATTGAAATCTCTAAAACTATATATACATATATATATATATATATATGATTAGACTATCAAACATTTTCCATATAAAAGAGACAAATTAGCAGCTACTTAATTCAGTTGTTAGTTCTTAAACCTTTATATGGTATATGGAGTTATATTTACATACTGTAAATAACATTTATTTAGTTAAAGTATGAACAACTAAAGAGAAATTGTTTAAAATGCCTCTTTTTCAATGCCCCTTTTCAAAAATGTCCCCTTTGAGAGTCAATTTTTAAGTTTGCCCTCTTTTAATTTTTAATGACCATTTTACCCTTATTTGAAACAAAATTAGGTCCACAAAATACAAAATATTTTTTGGCGGGAAAAGTGATCCTGCAAATTTTTGGCGGGAAACATGATCCCGCAATTTTCCCGCCAAAATTTTTTTTTTTCGGGAAAATTTTTGGCAGGAAAAATTTACAAGGTATTTTAAAGGTTTTACAGAGTATTTACAAGTGTTTTGTAAGGTTTTACAATGTATTTTAAAAGGTTTTACAAGGTACTTATAAGGTATTTATAACTTGTAAAACCTTATAAAAAACTTGTAAAACCTTATAAAATAGCTTGTAAAATCTTATAATATCTTATAAATACCTTATAAATACGTTGTAAAACATTTTAAAATACATTGTGAAACCTTATAAATACCCTGTAAAAACCTTTAAAATACTTTGATGTGTGCACATTCTCATGTTTTCTTTATATATTTGTGATATCTTTTATTAAAAGAATGGTAGTTTAGTCATTTTGTACATAAAAAGGGGTATTTTTAAAAATGGACAGCCAAAGGGGGCATTTTTGAAAAGAGGTATTGAAAAAGGGGCATTTTTGTGAGTCTCCCAAAACTAAACCGTATAATGAAACTTAAATTTCCTTATTATTAGTTAATCTTATGAAATAATGATTTGGTTGTATAGTTATTAATATTAATTATGTTAAAATATGAGAAAAAATAAACCCTAAAATGAAATTTAAGTTTCCTCATTGTTAGTTAATCTTCTGAAATAATGATTTGATTGTATAGTTATAGTTAAGGTAATTTGAATTAGGTTGGATTTTATTATATTTAATTGTTAATAAATATAACTGTTTTTAAGTAAAAAATCTTAGAAAATTAATTTATATTAAATAAATCTTATGTGATATCTTATATAATATTTAATTTAAATCGTAACTAATTTAATTTACATACTCAAGTATTAAAACTAGTTGATTAAATCATATGATAAAAATTTGAAATGGGTTGGATTAATGGATTTTATTCTATTTAGTTGTGTTGTTAATGCATTTTAATTGTGTGTTTATGTAAGAAATCTTAGAATGATTAATGCTCTCAATCAATTTAAGGGGCACAAGCACAATGCTTCAAATGTCGAAAACTTCTCGTAGCAACATTATATAAGAAATCTCCTAGGCCCTTTTTCCTTCAAAACATTATATCAGATTTCTCGATTGGCATAGCTAACCCCGGTGAAATCGGATTCATACTGTTTGCATTCTTCAAGTACGTGATGTCTTGCGTTTTCGTGTTTATGTGCATGTTTTTGTTACGTCGCCTTCTTCTGCGATTTTGCCAAATTTTGTTGTTCTTTCTCTCTAAATGATTCTTTCTGGCATAACTACCATGAATACATATCATCTTGTCGTTGTTCTTTTGGTAGCGATAGTTAGTTTTAGTTTAAAATATCGATAATTAGTTATAGTTTTGCTAAAGTATCGATGATAACCTGTTAAGAACTAAATTCTAATGGTATTTTAGTTTCTTCCCTTAATGAATTAAAAAAAATCTAAATTTCTCATGTCTATTACTTTATTATACAGAATTTGATTCAAGAAGGATGGCCCAACACACTGAGATTACATTTGAGGAAGGATGGCTTTACATACAGAAAGGTGTTACCAAGCTGATAAAGATTATAGAAGGAGAGCCTGAACCACCATTTGATGCTGAGGAATATATGAATCTTTATACGTACGTAGGTCGTCTTATGTAATGTTTGTTGTTAATAGTTATGTACTTACCGCATGTCTTATGTTATTCGCAGGACTATCTACAAAATGTGCAGCCACTCTCCTGGTTACTCAAAACAGCTTTATGAAAAGTATCGTGAAGTAATTGAAGATTATACTATCCAAACGGTGAGTAGCAAATTTTTAAGTTTGGGCTTGATTCTTGGATACTATTCAGGTTTAAATATTTGTTTTATGTGTGGTTTAGGTGTTGCCGTCGTTAAGAGAGAAGCATGATGAAGATATGCTAAGAGAGCTTGTTAAGAAGTGGGATAACCATAAAGTTCTGGTTAGATGGTTATCCAGATTCTTTCTTGATGTTGACTGTTACTTAGCTCGTAGAGGCATTCCAAGACTGAGAGAAGTTGGCTTGACATGCTTCCACGAACTGGTTTGTCATACATTCCTATAGCTCCTAATTTTTTTTACAAAGTACGTTATTGTAACTGTGGTTGCAAATTATTTACCTCATGTTTATCGTGAGATGCACTCCACAGCCAAAGAAGCTGTATTTTAGAACTTGTAAGTATTAGTATCTGAAATGAAAATTTTGGTTAAGCATGATTCTATCTAACACAATTTTGTGTCGCCAGATTCATAAAGAGCGTGAGGGAGAACAGACTGATAAGGCACTGGTGAAAAACATATTAGATATCTATGTAGAGAATGGGATGGGAACTATGGAAAAATATGAAGAGGATTTTGAAAGATTCATGCTTCAAGATACTGCTTCTTACTATTAATTTGCTTCATATTTTGAGCAAGTTACAAGCATATGTATATGTAAAACACGAGGTTTGTTTTATTTGTGAATGCAGAAAGTACAAAATGAATTGTTGGTGGTGGTTGCAAAACAGCTTCTAGAAAAGGAGCACTCAGGGTTCCGCGCAATGCTAAAAGATGACAAGGTTATACGACTTTTTTTTTTTTTTTTTTTTTTGTATTTTTATGAATTCTTAAGCAAATTATCATCTTAAAATATTATTTCATATTTAATTTAACTATAAATCATTACATAAATGAATACTATTCGAGAAGCAAAATGTAATAAAATTATTAAAATAACATTGTAAATTGAGGAATTGTTAGAAATGTTTTTTTCCAATACCTCTTTTCAAAAATACAACCTACGTAAAACCTTTTTAAACTTTCCTTAAAAATCAAAGATTTACCTAAGTACATATGTAACATTATAAAAGCATACAAAACTACATATATATGTATAAATACATGATTAAAACTTATAAATACCTTATAAAATCTTATACATATCTTATAAATCTTATAAATATGTTATATAAATACGTTATAAAACCTTATAAATACTTAGATCGAGGCTTGAGTAATACTTACCATCTAGAAGTACCTCATAAACCTTTTCAGGTTTAATGAGACGTATTTTTGAAAATACACAAAACAAGTGCATTTTCAAAAATAAAATATAATAATAAGGTCTTGCAAATTATTTATTATAAAGTGAAGGGATAATATGAAATAAATAATATAGCATCTTATCTATTTCTAAACTATTTTAATTTTTCTTATAACTTTGAATGATGAAAAAAAAAACAAAAACAAAATATAAGATTTTTTTTTTGAGCATTTAAAGACAAAGAAAAAGGACCACATGTCGTGAAAAAGAAGTTAAAAACTTCATGACGAGCTCATTTTTAAATTAGAATTAATGGCAAACCGTTATCTACACTTTTATTATAGAAAAAAAAGAAGGAGAAGATGATGATAGAGTTGAAGGATAAAATCTAATATTTGAGATTATGATCACTGATTTTTTTCGTTGGAAGATGAGTATTTTTTCTTTTCCAAAAAACGTCTACTTTTTATTCTTTGTTGACATTTTTCCTTCAGAACAAGTTTTATTACATACTAATTTTTACATTCAAAATAAATTTCATAATGTATATGCCAATACTTTCTACTTTTAGCCACTCTATACGTACTTTACCTTTTTTAATAACAAAATTCTTAAACTGATAACAAAATGAATAACTAAAGTGTTAAACAAATTCATGTATAATTATTTAGAAGGACATCAAAACCTATTATTGTATTATTTATTTTGCAATTACATTTTTAATCAGTATCCCACGCGATGCGTGGGTTTCTCTCTAGTTAACAATATGAAGAAGAAAATAAATATTCTTTCTCAATTTAGATTTTAGCCTAACTTTAATACATTCATCACTCAAGCTTCTTAATTCTTCCCTTCATTCTTAATTAGGATTTCAATTGCCTATTCCAATGCCTACAATGCATTCAAAGAAAGTGATCAAATTTTTCGACTCCATGTATTGTGGAAAACTAACATCTAATTTTTCGACTCCATGTAAAATGATCAAAAAGAATATGAACCTGATTAATAGATGTGTCGGTTTGTTTGATAAGGGAAACCCCCTCTTCAAGAATATGCTATAGAGATACAATTTCAATTAACGCCAATATTGTCATGTAGCAATTAAAATGAATTTATTTGGAAACAAATAAAAAGTGAATTTAAGAAAAATAATAAAACCTGCTTGAATAAGTTTGCAAGAGGTTCCAACCCTTGAGGGATTGGATGATAGAGTCCGTACATCCTAGAGAGATCATTTTTCTGAAAGTAATATAGCAATTAAGAAATATTTTAAGATGATAATTTGCTTAAGAATTCATAAAAATACAAAAAAAAAAAAAAAAAAAAAGTCGTATAACCTTGTCATCTTTTAGCATTGCGCGGAACCCTGAGTGCTCCTTTTCTAGAAGCTGTTTTGCAACCACCACCAACAATTCATTTTGTACTTTCTGCATTCACAAATAAAACAAACCTCGTGTTTTACATATACATATGCTTGTAACTTGCTCAAAATATGAAGCAAATTAATAGTAAGAAGCAGTATCTTGAAGCATGAATCTTTCAAAATCCTCTTCATATTTTTCCATAGTTCCCATCCCATTCTCTACATAGATATCTAATATGTTTTTCACCAGTGCCTTATCAATCTTTGGCTATTATTCAGTAGTATTTGTTTTGATGTCCCCAGTCCCACACCTTTGGTTACTGAGCTCGACGTTTTATTTCTTGGTAATTAATTCCAACCTAAAGCATTGTGTAACATGCAAACAAAAAAATGATTGTCGAAAACGAATCTATGACTTCAGTTTTTACTAGCAAATAGCTCATATACATTATATAAGATACTGCTAACCAGCTTTTTATTCGGTCGGAGTTACTAACACCAATCTACGAAAATAAATCATGTTTTAGCTAATCAACACGAAACTAAGAAATGCATTGTACCAATTGGATATAATGTTACTTTTTGCTGGATCATATTTTTAAAATATTTTAAAGTAAACAATACTTAAATGAGAACATACATATCCAAGAGCATAATTTCTTGACGATCCAACCTCAAATTCAACAGTGTCGTTTATGTTCTACAACACAATTGTTGGCTAGAATGAAGATAAGGAACATACTAAAATGAAGATGAGTGAGAGAGAAGAAAATGTAAATTTTAAATAACTAAATAAAAAAAGAAGTTAATTTAGAAACATAATCATTGCTTGAGCTGAAGTAGAGAGCTTCTTGTAGAGCATTGAAGAATGTTCCAGCCGTTAAAAGAACAACACACCAAGTGTCTCGATTTTATGGAATTGATTAAATAAGAGATTTGTAACATGAAAACGTAATGTGAAGAAGAAACGTAACGTAAAGAATTATAATGCTACGGTTTTCATTTATTAGATAGAGTAACGTAAGGTAAAAAGGGACACTTAATTATAATGTCTAGAAAGATATGCTTAGAGAAGAGAAGAAACGAATGTTCAGTTGTTTTTTTGAAATTTATTTTGAGTAAATTTTTGACTTTTCTTTGAAAAATACCCTATTTGTTTTTATCTTTTAAAAACTATATTTTAATATATTAAATTACTAAAATGGCTTAAGTGAAATTTAATATTAATTAAAAATAATTTATACGTAAAACATAAAATCTATTAATTTAGTAAGTCTTATATGAAATAACTAACAATTTTAATAAGTCATATATTAAATAACTAACAATTTTAATAATTCTTATCTTAAATATTTCTTTTAAACAATCTAAAATAATTGTGAATTCACCTATCAAGTGAATCATGTTCCTACATTTGATTAAAATTTAATGTTAAAAGAATTTATACGTAAAACATAAAATCTATTAATTTAGTTTTGAAATTAATATTTGAAATAACTTACAATTTTAATAATTCTTATATTAAATAACTAACAATTTTTAATAATTCTTATCTTAAATATTTCTTTTAAACAATCTAAAATAATTGTGAATTCACCTATCAAGTGAATCATGTTCCTATATTTGATTAAAATTTAATAGTTCATCATTACTTTTAAAATCTCTTGACTAAAATTAGGTTTGATTGGATTTCCATTAGTTTTTGGTACTCTATCATTAATATTATGTTAGAGCTATAAGCCGTATGTTGATTTAATCAATGATACATGTATATTACATCTTTCTACCAATGTTAAGTCGTAATCTACGTTAACCTTGAAATTGGAGCAGACTTTGGAGTTGTAGAATTTGATTGTTACGTTGAGATTTGTTTTGTTTATACAATATTAAGGGATAGACTTTATAGAATTTTTAATATTTTTAGATATTATCGTATTAAATTTAATATATAAAATAAATAAACTATCTTTATCTCAAAAAATAATTATAAGGATATTTAATATTATTTTGAATTTTTCTCTCAATTTTCGAATTTAGTTTTAATTTTACTAAAATACAGCTTTCAATTTAAATATAGACGAAATTGTCATTTTACATATAAAAATTTGTAATTTCCATTAGAAATAGAAAAAAGGTATTTTTCAAAGGAAAACTAAAAAAAAGAGTAGTTTTCAAAATCACCTATTTATTTTCCACAATATAATTCCAAATTAATCACCACTAATTACCACTAATTGGAGAGAGACACATGTCAGATGCATAGGATGTCAAATGGCATGATAATAGAGCTTCTTCAAAAAAACCTTGTCATATTATGTTATATATAAGATGTTAATGTATTCAACTCTGGTAGTCTAAAATATATAATTTAATAATTGCCATACATAAAATTTATTAGTTATTACTCGCCATACGATTGAAAACAAACAAACAAAATTAGATGGCCGTGCCTATGCAAGGAATAAAGAAAGGTTCGCCTACGGCATCAAATTCTATAGCAAAATTTAAGAGTTCATGTTTATAAATATTTTTATTGATCACTAATAAAGATGTTTGTTAAATTATTGTTCGTTTGACCTCAAATGCCCACCAATAACTCAAATGTTAATCTATATATATTTCTTATAGATATTTTAATGTGTCCATACGTTTTTTTTTTTTTCACCTCAATGATTCTCCATTTTATCATTTTTGTACTAATTTCTTTGTTGTTACCAAATTCTTTTAGTTAGTCATTTTTATCCAATTTATTTTTGTTCAATACTAATTTTACTATTTAAAAATACAATTTTTTAATTATATACCGTATTTGCTATATCCTCGTTTTTATTCTAGTTTTTTTAGTGCATTATGCCGGGTTGAAATCGGATGATGACACAACAACGGCATTATCGTAAACCACTAGATAAAAAAAAATTATAACATTTTTTTTTTGTAATTTGTTTTTAACAAATGATCTTATGAATTATTTCGCATAGAAGTTGTGTTATATTTTTAAAAATATGTAAGATTTATATGTGTTATAAATTATTATTTAAACATTGAATTATATTTTCAGTTTCGCTTATGGCATGAAAAACCTTAGGCACGGCTCTATGCATAATACTATTTACCATGGTAAATCATATATTTTAACGTTTCCAATTATATAATTTTTGACGATACTAATTTCCAAAAAATCTTACAAATTTTTCTATCCCATGCATATATATTGTTCATTAGAATCTAGTTTTTTTCAATTATAAGATCCATAATGGTGTTTTGAATAAATTATATGATTCTCAGTCTCTGTCAAATCTTGACAAATATACCAATGAGCTCCTCCACATGACTTTCTTTGCATTGAATTACAAAAACTTACGCTTTGTAAAAAGTCTATAGCTAAGAAAAGAGCTAAAAGCTAAAACAGTCGCATTATTGTTTCATAAATTATCTAAGACAATCAAATAGCTATCAAGTTCTGCTCGTTTCCAAGAGAGTAGAGAGCTTTCGTCTTCCTGTCAACTCTTTTCTTGTCTTCAGATATAATTTGAAAATTCATTAGATTTAAGGATGTTCGGTTATCTGGTATTTACAAAATTCCACAATTTTCTAGTGATTGTTAACTATACTTCACAGCATCAGTTGGCCGCATAGTCATAAACTTCAATATTTTCTTGGTCAAGTTCATTTCACAATGGCATCTCGACCACCTAAGTAACCCATGGCAAGAGTAGTGGTTTAAAATTCCAAATATGTTTTTTATGAATCTAACATTTGAGTACTACTGAAATGAAACCTCAATATTTAGAATCTTAACCTTATATTTTCTCTACTTTTCTCTTCTATATATCTAGAATTTTATATATACATATATATATATATATATTGAGGATATATACAAATAAAAAAGGATATATCCACTGCCTTCTCAACGTTGGCTATATATACTTGACTTCCGTTTCTCTTGTAGTTGTAGGTCTTTTAGTCGCACTCCGATTCTCATACCTAATTACGGTGAAATCGGAATCCATATCTTCAGGTACGTGACTCTTAGGTTTTAGGGTTTATGTACACGATTTTGACCAATTTAGGTTTATGTCATCTCAATTTAGGTTTTAGTGTTTAAGTGGTTGATTCATTCTCGCGTAACCTCAATGGACGCGTAACAGCTTGTTTTTGCTCTATTTTAATTTGGTTTGTGATAGGCGATAACTATAAGATTAATTAGTTTTGAATATAAATAATTTGGATGCAAAAGTATCGATAATGACCTCTATCAAGACATTTTGTTGTAACTATCTTAATTTTCTTCCAGAAATTTGACTCAACAGATCTTGAAATAGAATCGTGAATAATGGCCCAACACAGACATATTGAATTTGAGCAAGGATGGTCCAACATTCAGAAAGGTATTACCAAGCTGATAAGGATTCTAGAAGGAGAGCCTGAACCAGAATTTCATTCTGATGAATATATGAATATTTACACGTACGTAATGTTTGTGGTCTTATGTAATGTTTGTTGTTAAGAGTTTTGTACCTACCACAGTAATTTCTTATGTGATTCACAGGATTATCTACGATATGTGCAACCAGAGATCCGATTACTCACAGCAGCTATATGATAAGTATCGTAAAGTAATTGAAGATTATATTATACAAACGGTGAGTACAAAAAAATTTCATTTGGGCTAATTCTTCGATATTGTGCACAAAAATATCAATGTGTGAAGAAGACATGTTGTTTTTCTTAACTTTAACGCAAAAGATTTAATATAATTTATTTTTATGTGTGGTTAAGGTGTCCCCGTCTTTAAGGGAGAAGCATGATGAAGATATGCTAAGAGATCTTGTTAAGAGGTGGGATAACCATAAAGTTCTGGTTAGATGGTTATCCAGATTATTCCATTATGTTGACCGACACTTTGTTCTTCGGAGTAAGATTCCAATTCCAACACTAGATGAAGTTGGATTGTCATGCTTTCTTGACCTGGTTTGTAATGGATATTCCTATAGCTCTTTATTTTTCAATCCCGCATATGTATTTGTAACTGTCCATGCAAATTTTTTGTTTCAGGTTTATCATGAGATGCAGTCCACAGCCACAAAAGTTGTATTAGCACTTGTAAGTATTGTTATATGTAATTAAAAAAACTTTGATTCTTGGTTTTTATGCCTAACAATATAAGTTTTGCCAGATTCATAAAGAACGTGAGGGCGAACAGATTGATAGGGCACTAATGAAGAACGTATTAGATATCTACGTGGAGAATGGGATGGGAACATATGAAGAGGATTTTGAAAGCTTCATGCTTGAAGATACTGCTTCTTACTATTCTCGTAAGGCGTCAAGGTGGATCGAGGAGGATTCTTGTTCTCATTACATGCTAAAGGCATGTCTACAACTACGACTATGTTTTCATTCGATTTTAGAAAAATCGTATATATATTAACGTCATTAATTTTGTATTGCAGGTTGAAGAGTGTCTAAAGAGGGAGAGGGAGAGAGTCACTCACTATCTCCATTCAAGCACTGAACCCAAAGTAGTTGAGGTTGGTTATTTCTGGCTGTATTTTGATCTGGTTACAAACACTGATAGTTATTGAATTTGTTTGTTTATTTCTGAATGCAGAAAATACAAAATGAATTGTTGGTAATGGTTGCAAAAAACCGTCTAGAAAATGAGCATTCAGGGTGCTGTGCATTGCTAAGAGATGACAAGGTAAAGAGGACTTTTTGTGGTTATAATTCGTAAACAAATTATCATATGAAATTATCTATTTTGATGGAGCATTTCTACATGTATATTTTCAGAAGAATGATCTCTCTAGGATATACAGTCTTTATCATCCAATCCCTCAAAGGTTGGGACGTGTTGCAGACTTATTCAAGAAGGTTTATTTCATTTTACTTTTAAACTTACTTTCTCTTTGATTCCAAATCAATTTCTTTTTTTTTTTTTTAACTCACATTGGATTTCATTGGAAAATGTGTGTATAAAAACAGCATATTACTGAAGAGAGGAATGCTCTTATCAAACAAGCTGACGACGCAACCACTAATCAACTACTAATTGAGCTACACAATAAGTACATGGTCTATGTCACCGAGTGTTTTCAGAACCACACCCTCTTCCATAAGGTTAGAGTTTGTTCATGTGTGTTTATCTTTTCCCACAATAATAAATTGAATGGCTATACTTTCCTTTGAATGCATTGTAGGCACTGAAAGAGGCATTTGAAATCTTAAGAAGTCAGGGAGGAAGTGAGAAGCTTTTTTTGTGATGAAGGTAGGATTTGAGAAAGTAGATTTTTTTCTCTTCTTTACTGCTTATGGATACTACTACATCCACATGAACAAAGGAACTTGGCCAAACTAGAATTACGATAAAAGCGAAAAGCTAAACCAAATCAGTTTTATAGAGTCTCATTTGATTTTGGTTCTTAAATTATCTAAGACAATCAAACATAACCTGTTATGTTCCTTTCCAAGTTTGACTAGGATTTGCTTCTTTTTTCCTTTCAAATAGCTTGGATTTAATTATTGTTTCATATCTTACATCTTTATCAAATATCTTTGAAATAATAATATTTCAAATGCTATCAAATTTAATTGAATCTAACTACATTAAATTCAACATTAAAAATTACCTACGAGAGGGAGAGGGGGAAAGAGAAAGAAGAGATAGTCAAAAATAAGAGAAATCTAATGAGAGAAAGAGAGAGATTTGAGACTTTCTCGCAGAAGAAAACGAAGAAGAAATGGGTAATATTAGCCAAAAATTAATAAAAACTATGTAGCAAATAGATATTATTTAGTCAAATATTATTTTCTTCTTTTTTTTTTAGTCTTAAATTATTTGTTTAATTCTTTTTTAGTCTTAAGTTATTTAATGTATATGATCTAATTCCTTATAAGACATGTCTCTTTTTTTAGGATATCCTATATTATCAAATAAAATTACACGACATGGATATACACTGTCTCATTTTTTTTTTCATCTTATTGTCATAATTTTATCATGACACCAAGCTTCTCTGAAAAAATTCAAATGTTTACGTAATTCAGACCATATGTTTACATATTATGCATATATCGTTCATATATTTACGTAACTGTATTATTTTATCTATTTTTATTGTCACAATTTTGTTTCCGTTTTGCCCACATTGAAATTATAAGGTGTAACCCACTCTTCGGAAGGATGTAAATAATTTATTAAAATTTAATAATACAACATATGAGTATTTATAAATATCATAATTTTTAAAAAATGAAATATTATATAATTTAATAAATAGACCAACATTTATATTAGATGATTTAATAATTAGTATAATATAACTGCAAATAGTATTTTATATTGCACATTATGCATGATAAATCTATATTTAAAAAATAATTAAAATGCTGCATTTTTTAAAATTAAAACATATATGTTTACATAATTTTAGTTAAAACTTACAAAAATAAAAATTAAAAATTAAAAATAATAATTTGAGCGGCAACCCGTGTAACCATATCTAGTTCCTTATATGATATTTTAAATGAGAAATAATTTATTGCATATCTATAAATCATAAGTATTAAAATTAATTGATTAGATCATAATTAAAAATTTGAATTGGGTTGGATTTTATGTTATATAATTTAGTTGGATATTGTAAATGAATTAAATTGTCTTTTCATTTAAGAAAATCTCAGAATGATAAATGCACCCAATCAATGGGGGGGGAAGCTTCTCATAGCTCTTTTAGAAGAAACTTTACAATCTTTTTGATAATAGAAGAAATCTATTAGGGCATTTCTTCACTGGCAAACTTTTCATTTCCGATAAGCTAATCGGATTAGGTGAAATCATTTTTATACTGTTCGGAATCTTCATGTACGTGATGTCTTAAGTTTTCGTGTATATGTTTTAATCGAACGTATGAAGCTGCACACGTACGTATATATAGATCGTCTTATGTAATGTTTGGGGTCTTATGCTATGTTTATTTTTTAACAGTCGTCTTATGTAATTACCACAATGATTTCTTATGTGATTCACAGGACTATCTACAATATGTGCTCCCAGAAATCGGATTACTCAGAGCAGCTTTATGATAAGTATCGTGAAGTAATTGAAGATTATAATATCCAAACGGTGAGTACCAACGTTTTTTTTTTTTTTTTTTTTTTTTGAATGTAATGTTAAATTATATTCAAAAGAAAAATAAACGTTTGTACAACAAGTGTAACTGTTTTTGAAAATTTGAAGCTGAAAACATATGCATAAACTTAAAAATTAACTTTTCGATTCAAACCAAAGTTGAAGTCCTTTGTCGTATCTCCTATCACCGCTTGCCCTGATTGAGGAAAACTTGTTCCATACTTGTTTGTCAATCATTCTTATGAGACGAGATGCTGGGATCGGATCCTCACCGTGTCGTCTCCCGTTTCTCTCTCTCCACACATTATACACCGTAGCTTGAAAGAGGTATTTAGCTATAAAGCTCTCCAATCGAGTACTTTGAAGTTGAGAGACGTATGTAACCAGAGAGTTCCAGTCAACCGTGTACCTTGATTTGAGAATGCCTTTAGCCAACGCTGCCCAAATTTCAGAAACAAACCCACATGAGAAGAATAGATGATCTCGGGATTCTGAGCTATGATGACAAAAAAAGCATGCCATTGATGGCCCCCCCTGCCATTTTGCCATCCTATCTGCTCTTGGAAGTCGATCATGTACCGCAAGCCAGAGACAATAAGAAAATTTGGGAGTTGCGTGGGGGAACTAAACTCCCTTGAACCAAGTAACTTTATTTGAAACAGTTCTAGTGTGGTTCCAAGTGTCTTTAGTAGAGAAACTTGGCTTGAAAACGTTTTGCTTCCCTCTCCATAACACAACATCGTCTTCCTCTGTTCTGCGTTGCCGAGATGAGATTATTGCTTCTTCAATTGAGTTTAAACAATCAGTTCTATGTCGTCTACGTCGAGGATCAGTCCAAGCCTCCGCTAGTGTCATTTGTCGGGTTATACCAAGATCGATTACACCTCTAGAACCTGCAACTTCCATAAGAATTCCCAGCTGCGACCAATTGTCGTACCAAAAAGAAGTCTGCTTTCTATTTCCCACAGCCATCTTACAGAAAGATTTTGCTGTATCTCTATATTTGAGCAGTTTCCGCCAAATCCAAGATCCCAAGCTCGTTGTGTGCTTTACTGACCAGAAAGATTCATGTTTGAGGAGGTTTGTTTCAGTCCATTTGACCCACAGTGAGTTGCCGTGGGAGACAATTTTCCATATTAACTTCAAGCAACAAACATCATTTGCATCCTTTAGTGATCGTAGACCAAGCCCACCCTCTAGCTTTGGTTTACAAACTGCTTCCCAAGCTATCTTTGCTTTTTTTGAACTCATTTCGGCTCCCGACCATAAGAAGGCAGAGCATAGCTTGTCAATCTCCCGTACGTATACATTCCCGTGGCAGCCTGAACGCCGCCAACCAAAAATTACATATGCTCCTTAAAACCGAACTGATTAAGTTTAACCTTCCAGCAAAGGAGAGAAACCTCGCTGTCCATGATCCAATTCTCTTTCTGATCTGCTCTAATAATGGGAGATAATCAGCTTTAACAAGGCGTTTGGTAACGAGAGGGAGCCCCAAGTACCGCACTGGAAGCTGGCCTACATCAAAAGAAAATCTGTTAACTATCTCCTGCGAGACAGAATCTTGAGTTCCCGCCAGAAATACTGTTGATTTTTCCATACTAATCTTCAAACCCGATCGTTTAGCAAAATCATCAAGCAGTTTCACTATCCCTTCAATAGATCTCACCTTACCATCTGAAAGAATCATAAGGTCATCCGCAAAGCTTAGGTGAGTTAAGCCTAAGCTTTTACACCGGGGATGGTAACCAAATTTCCTCGCACCCGCGGCTTTGTCAAGCATTTTGGAAAGCACATCCATACTGATCACAAACAAATAAGGCGAGCACTACAAGAAAAACTTACATTCTTAGCGCGGAAAAAGTGCTATCATAGGTAATACATAGCGAAATAACAACTGATATGATTGCGGCAGCTATGGTAGATACCCCACCTACAATAGCATTAATTTTGTCTGCTATAGTATGTTCATCTACAATAGCACTTTTTAATGTCTTTATTTATTGTTTCATAGCAATAATCGAATGCCATTACTACCTTTAATAGCATATTTTCTTGACGCTCATAAGTTTTATGATAGCGTTGTTATTACGTGCTACTGTTTGGTCTGTGCTATTGTTTGGTCTGTCTTATATGTGATAAACATCCAAAACATACATATACATCATATCATAAACCAAACATCATTTTTGAACCAAACACCAATTCATACATAAATCAAATATGAATCCAATACCTAAACTAATATCCTTACGTCTAATTACCATTGTTGCCATTGGAGATAATAAGACGACTAATAACATCATACAAATAGCTTACTTTGTCTTCTAGATCACTGACTCGGTTCTTCAAGTAAGTTAACTCTTCTTCAACGGTTGGTATTGTAGGTTTTCGCTTAGCCACTCTTCGAAAAAGACTTCTACGGTTTTTGTCTATTACGGCATCGTCTCTGTCACTATCCTCAACTACCAACTCTGTTAGAAATAACAAAACAAACATTTCAAATCAGAAATATGCACAAAACAAACATTCATATATTGACTGCAGAATTGAATCATTTTAATCGCATCACATTATAATAAAGCCAAAACAATAACATATATTTGTTCACCTGAATATGCAGCTTGCGAGTCAGTCATATCATCAATCTTAGAAGAGACTAAGTCATCGATTTTTGTTGGTGTCTCTTTCTTAATTTCCAAATCCTTTATACTTTCACTTTCTTTAAGGTCAGAGAATTCAAAACCATAACATGTATCCAACATCGGTGATTCATAGACATAGTCCGGAAACCATTTACTTAAATGATCGAGGAGGTTCTGATAATCAATTGAAACAAAACATATTAGGTTTGATACAAATGATTAACATGTACAGATTTAGCAAGAGCATAAGAGAAAAGAGTACTTACCAGAAAATTCTGAATCATAAAGATCATTATCTGAAGTGTTCTGCACAAAAGTACCCAAATTTAAAAGCTACATAAGGACACCAAGTAATAAAACATTTGCTTACCTCTGTTTTCATTTCATCTCTGAACTTTTTCTCTTGAAAATGAGCTGAATATGAAAAAAGCAAATATCCATAATATTCAATTGATATGCTAAGTTGACTATATCATACAAATTGGTGTGATGCCTCTTACCGTGAAGATGCGACAAGTAGTCTCTTTCGTTGTTATGCACCTTTAGACAGATTTTACATTCGTAACTTCACAATATAAAACACACGAAAGAAAACAACAATCAAATTAGTCACACCAGATTCAATAATGATCCATAACTAAGTTCAATAATGAACTAAATGTAATAAGCTGCACATAACGCCAAACAATGTCAAGAAACAAGCAAACCAATAATGAGGCAATTCGTCGAACACCTGGAGGGCATGAAATCATCATCAGTTTACACAACAAAAACTATTCTAAGGAATCAGGTAGAGACGCACAATAGTTTTGTGAATTCAATCTTTCCAAAACTCAGATTCGACAATAGTATAATCAGAGCCGAAACTATTACTCACAACTATATTTGGATGGGAGAGATTTTTGAGAAGCTTAACTTCTTCTTCAAGCTCCTGAATTTAGCACCAACACCTGAGTTTTATCTTTGGAAGATCTGAGAAACAAAAAACACAAAGCACAACACTAATTTGTATATGAAATTTTGTTTTGTTGAAAAGTGAACCCTAATTTGAATCCGTCAAATATCAAAATTATCGTTATCCCTTTTGAAACCAGTTTCAATTTCGATAAGACCAAATAAGGACAACTAACGGTAAAGGAAAACCTAATCAAGGTATATATTGGTGATTTCGTACCTTAAGCTGAAGATTGAACCCTAATTTGAACGACATAGATAAAAATTCAGCTGCGAAGCTTAAAACTATCGGCGGAAAGGTAGAGGCCGTCGGAGATCGAGATTATCGCCGGCGAAGGATGAGGCAGTGGTCGTCGTCTTTGCAGAGAGAGGGATGATATGTCGGAGAAATCTAAAGAGATGAGAAAAGTTGCAGAGAGAGAGAGAGAGAGAGGCAAGGGAGATCGAATGAAAGAACATAATGGAGAAGAAGATTGGAGGAGAAGAGGATCGAAGATGGTGAGAGTGAGAGAGCTTTTTTTTTTGTTCAAAGTTTTGTTTTTTTTTTCTCTCTCTCTATCCAATTGAAAAGGAAAAATCACCGTCTGTTTTTTTTAAGTGTTAGGATCGATGAAAAAATTGGCTCTAATAGTTCCCGCTTAGTTAAATTTCGGCATAGCATTTATAAAATGCTATAATATACTATTCCAATCCGACATAGTCTTTTTCATAGCAAAATCGAAAATCGTGCTATGCTTAAGTGCTATCAATGTAACCTTTTTTTGTAGTGGAGAGAGAACACCCCTGTCGTAGCCCTCTTGCACTATTAAAATATCCAGCAAGCTCACCATTAACTTGAACCGAGAAAGAGGCTGTGGTAATACAAAGAGAAATCCAGTGAATAAATTCCGGCGGAATTCAGGTTTACCGTGAGATGCACTCCACGGCCACAGAAGCAGTTATAGCACTTGTAAGCATTTGTATATGTATTAAAAAAAATCCTTGGTTCTGCATGATCTTTTTTTTTCTAACAATGTTTGTATTGCCAGATTCATAAAGAACGTGAAGGCGAACAAATTGATAGAGAACTAGTGAGAAACATAATAAATGTCTATGTTGAGAATGGGATGGGATCCATAAAACAATATGAAGAGGATTTTGAAAGCTTCATGCTTCAAGATACTGCTTCTTACTATTTTAGCAAGGCGTCAAGGTGGATCGAGGAGGATTCTTGTCCTGATTACACGCTAAAGGCATATCTCTACATATCACTTTTGGGACTGTTTTTCAATTTGATTTCAAGAAAGTATGTATATTAGTGAACGTTCTAATCTTATATTGCAGCCTCAAGAGTGTCTACAGAGGGAGAGGGAGAGAGTCACTCACTACCTTCATCCAACCACTGAACCCAAACTATTTAAGGTTCGTTATAATTTGGTTATTTGGAATTAATCATATATTTACAAAGGAAGATTTTAGGGTTTGAACTTAGTGAATGCTTATTTGTGGCAGCATTTTGAGGATAAGTAAAACACTTCTTACATTAAATTCGTATTAATTTAATCATTAATTTAAAGTTAAAACACCCATTGTGGGTTGTCCAATGAGGATGCTCTTATTGGCTTTTATATTTATTTTTCCACGGTATGATTAGTGGCCGTTGTTTCTTTTGATGCATTGTAGGTATTGAAAGAGGCATTTCAAATCTTAAAGAGAAATGGAGGAAGTGAGAAGCTTAAGTGATGAAGTATTAATTATATTTTTCTTTTGTTTCAATTCATAAATCATCTAAGACAATCAAATAGCTATCCTCTCCTACTCGTTTTCGAGTATATATGATCAACTATTTAAAATAAACTAAAAGTGTTCAGTCATTATGGTGTGTTAAACACATATTATCTCCTTAATAATTTACTGAAAATTCGTTAATTTTCTTAAGAATCAGTTGTCTTTGTGCACAGTGTGCAAAGAAGAACAATTCTAAAAAAACTGAACAAATAGTTTAGTGTTATAAAAAGTACGTTGTCCTTCTTCCTTTTCATCTTCTCATTCCTCGATACAATCCAAATATTTTTAAAAAATCTTAAGAAAATTCAAAATCATTAATATTTTGTGTAAGATTCAATTGTTGGGAATAAAATATAGTGAGAAACTATATATTTTTTACTAATCAAAAATTAGTTTGCAATTTGTAACAAATCAATTAAAATTTTTATAAAGAGCTTCATAACATCTTATAAATTCGATTATAACATTTATAAATCATAGAACCATATATAAATTCACTTTTTCAAGTATTCGCACACATGTGTTCCACTAGTATGAGCACGGGTGGTGATATAGTGACAGTACTAGTAGACCCACTAAGTTACATGTTGGGAAAATGGTATTTTCATACCCGTACAATTCTCAAAATGTGTTTTCTGACGTGAACATATATGTAGGATTAATTCATACCTGAACTTCAAAAACAAATTAAATTTTATACCCGAACTTTATATTTATTGTCTAATTCGGAATCGTAATTAACCGATGTTACGGTTGCTGAGTGAAATGACACGTATTTGATGTTATGACCTAAAAAGTTGTCGGTTTAAGTGTTGGAGTTAAATTTTTATAAAGGTTTGTAAAAATCGGATCTCGAACCCATGACGTTTCACTCATTTATGCAGCCTATTACCATTTGATCGATAATTATCGTGAAATGTCGGAGGTTTGAGACCTGATTATTGCTAAATTTTGATAAACTTCAACTCTAACGCTTAAAATGACGTCATTTTAAGCCACGTTATCAAATACAGATCATTGATTCAGCGACCTTAACGGTTGACTAATATCCGTTAATTACGAGTTTGAATTAGGTACTAAATGTAAAGTTCAAGTATGAAATTCAAATTTTTTAAGGTTTGGGTATGAATTAAGGGCCTACGTAATTGTTCATATCAAAAAACACACTTTGCATATTATACGGGTATGAAAATACCATTTTTCCGTTACATGTCTTAGTTTTTCGTTTTCTTTCAACCAAAAATTAATTAGAAAACTAATATATGACTGATTGTCCAATTTTGAAAGGAAGATTCAAAATATAAAATTTAGATATATGTATTAAATTTGTGATTTCTAATATGTTTCTAATATGTTTAGCTCTGTTGTTTTAAATTTGAATTTGCTAAACTCTTCAGCCTTGTAACCATTTGAACTATTGAATGGAAACAAGCCTTTGCACACAAAATAAAAAATGTAAATGACTCTTAGATAGAGTAATACACCCAATAAATGTAGAAAACATTTCGATGGTATAGTTATATAGCTAACCCCACCGAACAGAACAAACCGAACCAACCGAACTCAAACCGATCTAAACCAAACCAAAGTCTACATACAACCCATTTGGTTAAGCTTTTCTTCAACCCGAATGGTTTGGTTTAGTTCGGCTTGGTTCGGTTTGAAACTGAACCAAACCAATAACCCAAACTCTTTTTATTTTATAATTGATATATTTAAATAAATAATATTATAACTCTAAAATCTAAATTCATGCTTAATTTGTATTTAATAATTATCTAATATAAAATAAATTTACTTAATCCTTTTAATCCCAAAATCTTTAATTCTAAGCCATGAATTTATAAGTTACGGAAACTAAAAATTGTTTCATATAAAATTATAGTAACAGAATTACACTTTCTAACTAGATAAATTAATTATGACTAATGGTAGTAAACCAAACCGTACTAAACCAAACCGAACTAACCCAAACTGAATTATCAAACCGAACCAAACTAACTTCAGTTTGAGTTTGGCTAGAATATTTATAAACCGAATTAACCGAACCGAACCGAACCGAACCCAAACTAAAACCAAAAATCATATTAAGTTGTTTTTTTTTTTTTTTTGCTGTATTTTCAAAAAGCTGACTTTATATATTATTAATGATTAAGACTCAAAATGTATAAAAAATATTCAAAAGTTTAATCAATATATATATATATATATATATAATTGGAATATAATACATTATTCATATAAAAGAAGAAGAAAAATCAACAACTACTTAATTTTTTCATTATTTCTCAAACTTTTATATGCTATATGGAGTAATATTTACATGCATAAATAAAAACTATGTTGAAAAATATGAAAAAATAAACCCAAAAAGAAACTTTACTTTCCTCATTGTTAAATTTATAATAAAAAAAATCTTTTAGAAAAATAATGAGTTAAATCATTTAATTAAGGTTGGATTATATTATCTTTAATTTTGAAGTTTATGCATATAAGTATTCTCAATGGAAAAAAATCTTAGAAAATTGAATGGGCTACATTAATAGTTCTTACAATATATATCTTTGAGAAAATTTAAAATAACGTATCTTATATATCATTTAATGATTCAGTACAAAATATATTTAAACTAAGTTCAGAATTTAATTTCATTAAATTTAATCATGTATGATTCCTTATACAATATTTAATATGATTAATACATTAATTAACATATTCATAAATCATAAGTGTTAAAGTAGTTGATTAAATAGGAAAATAGAATTTTGAATTGGGTTGGATTTTATGTTTTTTTTTTAAATTTAGTTTTTAGCTGTAAATGCATTTAATTGTATTTTCTGTAAGAAATCTCAGAATGATTAATGCACCAAATCAATTTAAAGGGCAGAAGTCTAATGCTTCAAATGGGGGAAACTTCTCATAGCTCTTAGAAGAAACTTTACCATCTTATACAAGAAATCTTCTAGGCCTTTTTCTCCTTCACTAGCAAGCTTTTCATTTCCGATAAGCTAATCAGGTTAGGTGAAATCAAATTCATACTGTCCGGAATCTTCATGTACGTGAAGTCTAAGCTAGGTTTTCGTGTTTATACTTTCAAAGATTCGTACTGTCATTCCTCTCTCTGTCGAGTATCCGTGGATTCCACCTACCTGTCCAAACTGCCATCAACTCGGCCATTTGCAATCTCACTGCCCTACTTCAAAATGGATGCCAAAACAGAAAGGCAAGGTCATTTTTCAGAGGGAATCCCAATGGCTTCCAAAACCAATTTCTCCTCCTCCGCAGTCTTCTTCCCCTCCGCAGTCTTCTCCTCCTACTGTTTCTCTTTCACCAGTTGATCAAATTGTCATAGAAACTGCTGAAGCTTCTGTAGTGGCAATGGACACAGAAGCTGCGGAACAAGCCGTCTTAGAGACCGCCAATGCTTCCATAGTGGGAATGGAGACAGAATCTGGTGTCGATCCCTCAGTCTCTCCTGCGGATGTTGTTGGAAGTTCAGTTCCTCTTGAAGCTGATAACACAAATGTCATCATAATAAGGAAAGATGAGATTACACATTTACTTGCTCTTCCGGCTCAGAATAGAATCATTCCTACTTCTCAGGTCTCTGTTCCTATCAAAGAGGACTCTTCTTGGACCCAAGTTTCTTCAAAACCTGCAGCCAAAAACCATGTTGTCAAAAAACAGTTAGTCACCACTAAAAGAAACTATTTCTCTTGTTTAGCAAACCTTGAGGATGCTCCTGCGTCATCTTCATCGTTGATGGAGGACTACCCCTCATCTAACCTTGTTGTCTCTCCTAATTTCACAATCTCAAATACCCAAGCTTCCCCCCAAACCCAAACCCATCAACCCTTTCAGCCTTCTATTACCATTACCCAACCCCAAAATTCTTTTGAGCCTCCAGCTCCTTTAACTTCCTTCTCTAACACCACTTCAAAATCCTCCCATATGCCTGATCTGTCTTTGCCAATCCTAAGTATCCCAAATGCTTTTAAATCTACCCAGTCTTCGGGTTCTTCCCTCTCTAAAGGGGAGTCTCATTCCTAACCTTTCTTATGTCTATACAAACTTTTTTTTGGAATGTCAGAGGAATTAATGATACTGAGAAGCATCAGGCTTTTAAGATCTGGCTTAATAGTAATAAAGTATCTTTTGGAGCCCTTTTGGAAACTCATATAAAAGAATCTAATCTAAACCATGTAATGACAGATTTATGCCCATCTTGGTCTTTTACCTCAAACCATTCGGAGGATGCTGATGGTAGAATTGTAATCATCTGGAAAGGTCCTCTAGTAGTCAATGTCATCCATAAATCCAAACAAATGACTACTTGTCAGATAAGCTGCACTGGAATGAGAACTTTCTTTTTTACTGCGGTGTATGCAGCAAATACTGTGGAGGAAAGAGAGGTCTTATGGAGTGAGTTGGAAGCTATTCAATCAGCCCTTGCTCTTCATTCAGTACCGTGGCTCTTAGGGGGAGATTTTAATGAAATTATTCATCACTCTGAACACTCCTCTGCATCAAGGAATCAGTTCACCAGAAACATGATAAAGTTCAAGGACTGCATTCAAACTCTAGAAGTCAGAGATCTTCGGTACTATGGGCCAACTTTCACCTGGACTAATAAACAAGATTCCAACCCTATTGCCAAGAAACTTGATAGGGCACTAATCAATGAAGAATGGCTCTCAACATTTCCCCAAAGCCTAGCAACCTTTCTAGCCCCTGAACAAATCTCTGATCACTCTCCCTGCCTCATCAGCCTAGCTTGTCCCCTTCCTGTAACTGGCTCTAAACCTTTCAAATTCTTTAACTACCTTACTTCTCACCCAGACTTCTTATCTACTGTAGCCCATGCTTGGATTTGCTCTGAAACTGAGGATTACTCCCTAAGAAAAATGAGTTTTAAGGAGAAGAGATTGAGAGGGGATTTGAAAGCTTTAAACACAAACAATTTTTCAGAAATTCAAAAGAGGGTTTGCGAGGCTAACTGTTTGTTAAAAGATGTGCAGGTGCGTGCTCTGAACCAGCCAACAATTTCCAATTTTGAGGAAGAGAAGAAATGCCTAGAAAAGTTAGCAATGCTCAGGGGAATTGAGGAAGCCTTCTTCAAACAAAAATCAAGAATTCATTGGCTAATAGTTGGAGATCAGAACACTAATTTCTTTCACAGAGCAACCAAGGCAAGAGCGGCTTACAATGCTATTCATTCACTACTTGGCTTGGATGGCGTCATTGCAACTACCCCGAAAGAGATTGGAGAACTTGCTCTTTCCCACTTCAGAAGTATCCTCAGCCCTTTTATTTCGCCTTCAAATCCTTCTCACAGCCAGACTATTGCTGCCTCTTACAACTATTCTTGCACAACAGAGGAGATTCAAATACTTAGTAGGATTCCTTCCTCAGAAGAGATCAGGAAAACTATTTTCAAGCTAAACCCTAACAAGAGTCCTGGTCCTGATGGACTTACCTCAGGTTTCTACAAGGCTGCCTGGACTATACTTGGTGAAGAAGTTGTAGGCTCCATCCAATCTTTTTTCCTGAATCCAGAAATGCCCACATTAACCAACTCGACCATTCTTACCTTGATTCCAAAGACTTCAGGAGCTACTTCTATCAAGGACTTTAGACCCATATCATGTTGCAACACTCTATACAAGACAATAGCTAAACTACTGGTCGGAAAAATCAAACCGTTGCTTCTAAAAATTGATCTGCCTAATCAGACAGCTTTCATCAAAGGCAGGGTTCTGTTAGAAAACTGTTTATTGGCTGCAGAAATTGTCAACGGATACCACAAAGACCAGGGGCCAAAGAAACTCACCATCCAAGTTGACATCGCAAAAGCGTTTGACACCGTGAGATGGGATTTCATCCTTTTCTGTCTTTCCGCTCTCAACCTGCCAGAATTATACATCCTCAAAGAGTGTATCACTTCTCCAGCCTTTTCAATAGGAATTAATGGTGTAATGCATGGCTATTTTAAAGGGAGTAGGGGTTTAAGACAAGGAGACCCTCTTTCCCCTTATCTATTTACTATAGCTATGAATTTTCTATCTCTACGACTGAATGAGGCTGCTGACCAAGGTCGGTTTGGTTATCACCCAAAATGCAGAGAATCTAAACTCACTCACCTCTGCTTTGCTGACGACTTGTTGATCTTCTCTGATGGCTCTCCTGCCTCTGTCCAAGGAATCATAGATGTCTTGGCTGAATTCCAGACCCTGTCAGGATTAGCTATCAATCCTGAGAAGTCTTGTTTCTTTCCTTGTGGGCTTTCTGCAGAAGAAATCACAACTATTGGCAGTTTGTCTAGGATTCCTCAAGGACACCTGCCCATAAGATACCTTGGTCTGCCCTTGTGTACCAAAAAATTACTAATTGTTAACTGTGAGCCACTTCTCCAAAGGATCAAAAGTAAGATATCTTCCTGGACAGCAAAATATTTATCTTTTGCAGGAAGATTACAACTTCTCAATTCAGTTATTGCGGGAATTAGTAACTTATGGTGTGGTGCGTTTGTCTTGCCTAAGAGATGTATAAAATTAATTAACTCAATGTGTAGTGCATTTCTGTGGAAAGGAACTTTGGAAGGAAAACATGTAGCAAGAGTATCGTGGGAAGTAGTTACCTCCCCCAAAGGTGAAGGAGGCTTGGGTGTGAGAAATTTATTGCTCTGGAACCGAACTTGTTCTCTTAAGCTCCTGTGGATGTTGTTGTTTAAGACTGAATCAGTTTGGTCAGCTTGGATTCACCAAAATGTCATCAAAGATAGAAACTTTTGGGACATTAAACCAAGTCAGGTACAAACATGGACGTTTAAAAACTTACTTAAACTTCGAGGGCTCGCTATTAAGTGGTTCAGAATCAGTCTGGGAAATGGTAGGAATTGCAGATTTTGGAGAGATCCGTGGACTCCCTATGGACCTCTAATCAACTTCATCGGAACTCATGGACCTCGACTTACGGGTATTCCCTCGAATGCAACGGTATCTTCACTCTGGTCGAATGGATCTTGGTTTCTTCCCCTAGCTCGATCAGACCGATTTGAACAGCTTCTTCTACATCTCTCGACCATAAGACTTAATGATTCTGAAGACATCCAGCAGTGGTGCATCCAAGACGCTGTTAGAGAGGACTTTTGCTCGGGACTGGTCTACAATAGCTTAAGAGAAGTAAAACCTCTGGTGGATTGGGATAAAATTGTCTGGATCAAAAGAGGAATTCCAAAACATCGAACACTAACCTGGCTTTTCATCCTCAATCGATGCCCTACATGTGATCGACTCCTCTCGTGGGGTCTCCCTGTTGATGCGAGTTGTCTCCTTTGTAATCAAATGGCAGAATCAAGGCACCATCTTTTCTTTGCTTGTAGTTACTCTCAGGCGATCTGGAGACCTCTTTCTTACTCAATTTTGCGGGCTCACCTGAGCGATGACTGGACAGACCTGCTTCAATATCTCATCAACTTCTCTGGGAATTCACAACTTCGATACATTCTTCTCCTTGCGTGGCAAAATTCGATCTATGAGATCTGGAGAGAGAGGAACTCTCGCCTTCATCGCAATACTCATAGGTCGCCGGAATCAATCACTCGTATCATCGGATCAACTATCAAAAACAGGATCTCGGCGTTTAGACATCAGAATCCGACATTGGCGAGCAAGCTTATGCAACTATGGATTTTAATCTCATCGGCCCCCCGGGGTGGAATCAATTTCTACTTAGCCCCCCTTATAAGAAAGAAGAGTTTAATTGTTTAATTTAATTCAGGAAAATAGTAAATGACCAAAAAAATATGGGATTTTCAACATAATTACAGACCCAACCTAACTTTGGATCTAGATCCATATTTGTTGGGTCGGATTTCGGATCTTTAATTCCCAATTCTCCTAACTTCGACTAACTTCAAGCCCTAACCCTAATTTTCATTTTTTCCTTCTTCTTTTCTCTCTCGACAAACCGACGAGACCCTGGATCCCGAGACCCTCCGACGTTCTCTCGAAAACAAACCGACTTCGCCGTTCTCTCATCGCCGATAAAACTCTTCTTCTTCCCTCTTCTCTTGTTCGCCAACAAAGGATCCGCCGCCACAAACCAAATCCAAGTTCATCCGCCCTTCTCTTTGTAAGATTTATTTTCGAGAATCAAGGTTATGTTTCCCGTTTTTTTTGTTTGAGTGTGTTGGGTTTTGATTCATGAAGATTTTGATTTGTGGATGGATTTTCGGATTTCAAATTGTCTTGTTTTCGGATTTGAATTTTGGCCTTTGAATGTGAAGGGAAAGTAACTAACTCTCAGTTTTGTCGTAGCCTCATCTACCTTTTTCTTCCTGCAAATCTTCTCAACCATCTTAACATATGATACTTCCCCTTTCGATTTATTCATAAGAAAAGAATACACTTCTTCATCTTCTCCATTAGAAATCCAATGTACATCTTCTCCGATACTTGTATAGTATCCGTCATAAGCAAAGCGTATGACTGAATTCCTTTTCATTGTCCCTGAAAAAGAAAGAGAAAAAAAAACGGCCTATAATTTCATAACTTTCGTAGCAGACCATCAACATAGTTGTACGCATTTGTCCCAGTTGTACCAAACTTGGGGTTTCCGTAACTACTTAGTTGTACCCAGTGGTTTCAGTTGTCCCAAATCTGCAATCCTAAAATATTTCAACAAATAACCCTATTCAAGCTACGAATTCAACTTAATCATACTACACTAAGAAAAAGTATACTTACCTTACAGTTGTACGAATTTGTTCCAGTTGTACCAAACTTAGGGTTTCCGTAACTACTTAGTTGTACCCAGTGGTTTCAGTTGTCCCAAATCTGCAATCCTAAAATATTTCAACAAATAACCCTATTCAAGCTACGAATTCAACTTAATCATACTACACTAAGAAAAAGTATACTTACCTTACAGTTGTACGAATTTGTTCCAGTTGTACCAAACTTAGGGTTTCCGTAACTACTTAGTTGTACCCAGTGGTTTCAGTTGTCCCAAATCTGCAATCCTAAAATATTTCAACACATAACCCTATTCAAGCTACGAATTAACTTAATCATACTACACTAAGAAAAAGTATACTTACCTTACAGTATGGTGGGAATACAAGAAGAAGAAGAGAAGAAATATGTCTGAAGAAGAAGAAGAAGAAGAAGAAGAAAGTCTCGTACGTTCCTACGTTTAATGTTGTAAAAGGTGAGACATTTGGTAGGTTTGTTTTTTAATGAGAGAAGAGAGAGAAAATTTTTGATTGGTTGATAAAAAATATGTTGATATTAAATTAAATGTAGAATTAAAGGGATAAGGGGTAGAGTTGGTTTATGAAAAAATTGGGAAGAAGAGGGGGTAGTGAGAATAAGTAGGGGTTTTTCAAAAATTGATTTTGGCCAAAGGGGCCAATGAGATTAAAATCCTGCAACTATGGATGTCTCGGCAATAAACGACAACAGCAGACCATCGTTTCATCTACCTCTTCATTTGGGCTCTACTACTCCGAATGGGCTTTTCTTCTCTTAATGGGTTTACTACCTTCAAGGGCTTTTTAATTATGGGTTCATTTATTTTCTTTTATAAGGATACTAACTAGTATGGGTTGTAATTTATAAAACACTTTCGGCTTCGGCCATTTAATTTTATGCAACAAATTAACAAAAAAAAAAAAAAAAAAGATTGTAGTAGTTCTTTTGGTAGTCTAATTAGTTTTAGTTTTAAATATCGATAATTTGGATGCTAAAGTATCGATAATTACATCTCAAGAGATAAATTTTAATGTAATTATCTTAGTTTCTCCCTTTATAAAAAAACAAACATTTTAATTTCTTGTGTCTACTACTTTATTATAGAATTTGATCCAAGAGAGCTTGAAACACGTTCTAGAAGGATGGTGCAAGAAGCGATTAAATTTGAGGAAGGATGGTCCTACTTGCAGAAAGGTATTACCAGACTGATAAGACATCTAGAAGGAGAGCCTGAACAGGCACTTAAAACTCAGCATTGTATGGAACTTTACAAGTACGTTGGTCGTCTTATGTAATGTTTGGAGTCTTATGATAGTTGTTAATAGTTGTGTACGAGTACTTACCACAGTGATTTCTTATGTGATTCACAGCACTGCCTACCATATGTGCACCCAGAATCCTAATTACTCACAACAGCTTTACGATAAGTATCGCGAAGTGATTGAAGATTATACTATGCAAACGGTGAGTAGCAAACAAATTTGTTTGGGCTTGATTATTGGATATAGTGCGAAGAAGACATCTTCTTATTTTCTTATTAACTTAACTTGTTACCAGCCCCGGCCCAAAGAAAATGAAGACCTTAGGGCAAAAAATATTTTTTTGGGCCTTTTAGCATTATAATTTTTTTTTTTACTATTTTAAAATATATTTTTGGTATTTATAATTATAAAAACAAATTATTTTCAAAATTTTGGACTTTTTCATAGTTTTTTTTATAAAAAATCTGGGCCTTTTATATCTAATTTTGGGTTATATTAATTTTTTGAAATAAATATGGACCTTTTTTTGAAGTATTTTTGAGTGAAAAAAAAAAGCCTTAGGCCATCGCACCCCTGTGAGCCGGGCCTGCTTGTTACTATTTGTTTTATGTTTACTTTAGGTGCTACCATCTTTAAGGGAGAAGCATGATGAATATATGTTGAGAGAGCTTGTTAAGAGGTGGAATAACCATAAACTTATGGTTAGACAGTTAGCCATAATCTTTGGTTATCTTGAAGGATACTTTTTTCGTTGGAAACGCATAAATTCATCACTGAGGGAAGTTGGCTTGATATACTTCCACGACCTGGTTTGTCATTCACATTTCTATAGCTTTTAATTTTTCATTTTTTCGAAAGTATTTTGTAACAGTCTATGCAATTATGTACTTCAGGTTTACCATGAGATGCATTCCTCGGCCACAGAAGCTGTAATAGCACTTGTAAGTATTGGAATCTGTAATAAAAAAAATCCGGATTCTTGATTTTTCTATCTAACAAAAATTTGTATTACCCAGATTGATAAAGAACGTGAGGGCGAACAAATTGATAGAGAACTAGTGAGAAATGTAATACATGTCTTTGTTGAGAATGGGATGGGATCTATAAAAAAATATGAAGAGGATTTTGAAAGCTTCATGCTTGAAGATACTGCTTCTTACTATTCCCGCAAGGCGTCAAGGTGGATCGAGGAGGATTCTTGTCTTGATTACACGATAAAGGCATATCTCTAGATATCACTTTTGGAACTGTTATCCAATTCGATTTCAAGAAAGTATGTATGTTAATGAATGTTAGTAATTTTATATTGCAGCCTCAAGAGTATCTACAAAGGGAGAGGGAGAGAGTCACTCACTACCTTCATCCAACCACTGAACCCAAACTATTTGAGGTTCGTTATGATTTGGTTATTTGGAATTAATCATATTTTTACGAAGGGAGATTTTAGCGTTTGAACTTAGTGATATATATGCTTATTTCTGGCAGCATTTTGAGGATATGTAAAAAATTGAATAGTTATTGGCTTTTATTTTTTTCCACAGTATTATATATTGAGTGGCCATTGTTTCTTTAATTTTGATGCATTGTAGGTATTGAGAGAGGCATTTCAAATCTTAAAGAGGGATAGAGGAAATAAGAAGCTTTAAGTGATAAAGATACACTTAAGTAAAGGAACTGAGAAGCTTAGTAGATTTCCTTGTTAATATTGTTTATGCGTTGAAGTTTGAAAATCTGGGTCAATAATAATGAGCTTGCTAGTCTCGCTACAAATTTGGTAGATTAAAATATATAAACTCATTTTTCAAGTACGAGATCCGTAATGGTATTTCAAAAATTTATTTTATTCGTAATCTCCGTCAATTCTTGACGAATACAAATGAGCTAAGAATGGCCTTCTTTACGTTGAATTATATAACTGAATCATAAAAGATTTGTAGTAGAAACTGGAAATTGGAGAGTTCGTAAATCATCTTAGACAATCAAACAGCTATCATGTCCTGCATGCTCGTTTTCAAGTTAAACTAAGATTTGTTTTTGTTAAGAATGTAAATATTTCATAGAAAATGAAAAAGAGTTTAGGTTTACAATAAAAGATTATAGACTTATACAAATGGTCTCATGACAAAAAAAATTAAAACATGGAAGCTTTTGTATAGGTCTATAATCTTTTATTCGTAATCCCGGTCAAGTTTTTATTTTTTTTACTTTTAAAGTCAGGGTTACGTGATTTAAAAAAAAAAAGTGAAACCAAAGAATAAAAAAGAAAAAAAAAACTTTAGAGGCTTTTGAATTATTTAAAGCCAAAAAAGTGTGATCGGTAAAAATTAAACTTTAAAAACTTTACAAAAAAGTTAAAACCTTTAAAGTCTCAACCAATCACTCCCTTAAATCTGTTTTTCGTATTTAATTAATTATTTTTTTGGATTTTTTAGATAAATTAGAAAATTATGCTAAAACACGTTAGCATTTTAGCTTCACTTTAAGTGATATAGTGTTTTAAATCAATTATTGTCAATGATACAATTATTAAAATCACTTATGAATACTGACTCTAGTTTTAGTATCAGTTGTTTTAGTATCAATTATTATAACTGTTACAAATACTAACATCACTTATACAAAATGATTTTAAAAAGTAACATCAGTTTTTGTAATTGATACAAAATTAACATCATTTAAAACAAGGGAATGTTACTAGATTAACCCAAATAATAACCTTTTTTTTTTGTGATCCGAAATTATTTAGAGCTCTAAAGAGCCATTCGTAGGGAATGTTGTTTACATATGTGATATGAAACGATTCTGTACAAACATTTTGTGCCACATTATCCGCTTTAACATCAGCACTACGAGAAATTAAAAATAAAGAAAAGGTTGAGAACTCTTCTTTGTCGCTCTGAAGTTCCTCCAAATACACTGAAAACTCCGGCCATTCGGTTGGGGAAGACACCATCTTCACCAGGTCAAAACAGTCTGTAAAGAACGCCACCTATTGATTATCTGCACCAATCATACACTTCATCGCCCAGAGAAGGGCCTCGACTTCTGTATGTAGTGGAGATAGACTTCTACGAAGGTTGGCAGCTCCCATAGTTGGCGGCTCTCCATTTGATGATGTACAGAACCACCCAGTACTAGAGAACTTATCACTTCCTTTCCACGATCCATCCACAAAACAACGATATCCAGAATAATTCGAATCAAGTGAAGCATCCCTCACTCGAGATCGAGTTACCAAATCCACAGAACCATGAGTTTCATTGTGAAGCTCGTTTTGTCCTGACTGCCACAATTGAGCCTCTTTTTCCGCTAACCGTAATACCTCTAACGGGTCGTTGTCTATATTTTCAAAAAAAAAATTCATTCATTGCTTTCCAAATATACCAGATGATCCATGGAAAAGCTGATGAATTTAACTCCGAAGGTATCCTCCAAAATAAGTGATCCATATTCGCAAAAATAGATTCCGTGGGGAAAATTCCTATAGCTGTTGGAATATGTGAAAGCGCCCAAATTTGTCGTGCCGGGTGGCACTAAAAGAGTGTATGATTAATCGTTTCCTCTGATGCGTCACATCTAGCACATCTTGAGTCACAATCAATTACTCTTTTCCGCAAATTCTCCGCAACCGGCACACAACCTGTTAAGATTTGCCACATAAAATGGCGTATCTTAGGTGGACACTGCACTTGCCAAGAGTATGCTTTTAGCGGTTTGATGCACTTATTAGCGCGACATCTTCTGGATCAAAGATCTCCCGTAAGAGATCAATATTCCAAAAGTTCGTCCGAGTATCTATAAGATTGTGAACTTTTAAAGATGGGTCAACAATTGCACCATTACTTTTTGCTGGTCTCGGGAATTGAGCTGGAATCCAAGGATCCTCCCAAACAGAGATGGATGTCCTAGATCTGACTCTTTTAATAAGTCCTTTATTAACCAGAGATCTAGCTGAACATATACTCCACCATCTATATGATGGGGAGTATGACTTTATATTTTCCAAAGGATTGGAATTCCGAAAATACCGCCCTTTATAAACCCTCGCGAAAAGAGAATCTGGAACCATAATCAACCACGCTGAATTAAAATCGTCTACATTCCAAAATCCTATTCCTCCTTACGATTTACTATTACACAATTTATTCCATGCCATCCAGTGCATACCTCTAGAATCACCATTTGAGCTCCACCAAAAATTAGCAACCGCACTAGTTAGTTTAGAAGTGATTGTTTTCGGTGGTCTGAAGCACAACATAACATAAGTTGGTAGTGCCGCAGCTACCGATTTAATCATCGCTTCTTTCCCACCTTTCGATAAAAATTTGGCCGACCATCCATTTATTCTAGTCTGTAATCTATCTCTAACAAATGAGAAGATTTTTGTCTTGGAGCCAGCTAAACTTTCCGGCAACCCGAGATAAGAACCCATACCACCGATGTTAGTGATGCCCAAGGTAGATTTAATTTCGTCCTTGATATCATCATCTACTTTATGTCCAAACTGAATCGAAGATTTTGAAAAAGTTATCTGTTGAACCGAAACCGCTTCATATTTCTTTAAAAACCCAACTAATAAATTTAATTACTAGAATATCTTAAAACATTTGGGGGTTAGATGAGTTATTTTCATGATGATTCTCTCTATGTTAGAAAAAAAAAAGGTTAGAATTACCTTTATTTTTATTTAAAAAATGTGGGGAGAAAAAGGGAAAATATTACGACAAATATTTTATTTGCTGTAGATTTTTACCCCATAACAGACTTATTTTTTGATGACACCACATATTTTTGACACTTTGACAGATTTATTAAAATCTGTGGCAGATTTATATTTTTAGTGGCCTCAGACTTTCATTTTCATAAAAATATCTGCCATCAAATGACAGATTTTTTTTTGGAAAAATAATTACTAGTATGACTTAGTAGTGATAACAGATTTCTTTTATGTTATGACAGTTTTTATTTTTTAAACAAAAAAACTGTAGAGTGATTGCAGATTTGTCATACAAAACTAAAAATTGCAAGACTGATATACAATTGTAAATGAAATATTTTATGTGATGACAGATTTTTTTTACATTATGACAGATTTAGGATAAGTTAAAATAAAACTGTCACATATTAGCAGTCTTATTGATGAAAAAAAAATTGCTGGAATGACTTCATATAGTGAAGACAGATATGTTTTAAACAATGACAGATTTAAATTTTTATTCTTATTATGACAGATTTTTAATTTTTATTTGATGATAAACTTTGTATGACGGACTACATATTTTAAGAACGACTGGCTTTTTTAAACTTAACATTTGTTTAAAGACATAACATCTTCTATATATTAATATGACATCCATTGTCTTGTGTTTTGTTGTTGTTGATAAAATATCCATTATTTTTCTTTGTGTCTGCAATTCGTTTATGTTAACATGCATGTTCTAAATGTTCTAATTTATAAATGTATATATAAGTAAGTAAAAGTTAAGATATTTGTTTTGTGTTAACAGAGTCATATAAATTGGACTATTAAACTTAGCTTGTTTTGTTAGAGCACCGTGCTGAGCACCAAACAAATAAGAGAAAACGAAGTTTCTGTTAGTGGAATTTGCAGCATTTATTAATTGTTGGTCAACAAAATCGACCCCAAAATAATAATAATTATTTGATTTTTATGATATACGTGACAAACGAAGTCGTACGGGATTTGGGGCGGTGGTGTTTCCACAGCCGATCAGAATCAATTCACGCTTATACGCGTGAAAATACTGCGACTCGTTTGAGTCCTAACCTCACAGACTTTCTCGTCGTGTCTTCCAACCGGAGAAGTAACGGAGAAGGCGAGTTCGATTTGAGAGAAGTGTCGGAGAACCGGAGCCTCTAGCTCTGGTGGTAAAGGACCCTCAGCTGAGGTACCCGCCATCACGAGTTCGAGTCCCGGCCACTGCGGTATTCACATGCGGGCTGCAGAGTTCCAGGAGCCGACACGTGGAGTGCCATTTGGCCACCCACGTGGCTAGTCTGAGCGAACTGATAGTCTAACACGTGGACCCCTGCTCTATCGGATATCCGATAGCTAACACGTGGACCCCTGCCCTGTCGGCGAGCGTTAGGATACCTAGATTATCAAAAAAAAAAAAAAAAAAGTGTCGGAGTTTTTTTTTTCGTTTTTGTCTGCTGAGAAAAAAAATGAATGAGTCGATAGATTAGGGTAAAACATAACTAACATTTGTTTTTTAATTTAATGTTAATTTAATTTCTAAAACTTTTTTGGTAGAAAAGAAAATAAATTGGGTTTTTGGTCATATTACACAAAATTTATGTTATTCTAGTAAACTATAAAATTAGAGTGTTAATCAAGTTATTAATATCCAGATTTTAGTCAATCTGGATAAATTTCAGTTAAAACAATCGACGAAAATATTATGTACAGTTACATCAGTTGTTAACAAAACGATGCAAATTATTTGCATCACTACTTTCATAGTCATTTATTTAAGTGATGTAAAATTTATTTACATCAATTATAAGGAATACAAAAAATCGAAATAAATGATACAAAATGATCTTTTTATGTAGTGTAATTGACAGAAGAAAACAACAATCCGAGTTCAGAAAGTACCAAATAGCTAACAACTAGAGCTAAACTGATAGCCAAAAACTATGACAAAGCAAGACCAATCAAAGCTTTAAGTGACACTACAGCTATATAAAAGTTATCAACCAATATGATTTTAATTTTTCAACTCCAGTTAATCAGAATCTAAGAAATAATGCCATTAGTATATGACAAGCATGGTCAAGTTTAAATTCAACTCTTTGAATCTTTTTAAATTTCTGTATATTATAATTTAATTAATGAGTGTCAATACTTATGAATTATGGAATGCAATTAAATCATTCAACATTTAACATTCTTAAAGATTTTTTTTTCCTATATTTAAAAAAGCTGACTTATCTATTGTTTAATTATTAAAGTTCAAAATGTATGAAAATCTGTAATAATTTACATATATACGTTATCCATATAAATGAAGAAGAAAAATCAACAACTACATAATTTGTTTCTTATTTCTAAAATATGGAGTAATATTTACATGCATAAATAAAAATTATCTTGAAAATATGGAAAATAAAGCCCAAAAAGAAACTTAACTTTCCTCATTGTTAATCTTATAATAAAGAAACTTCTTTTAGAAAAATAATGAGTTGATTGTATAGTTAAGATAATTTGAATAAGGATGAATTTTATTATAGTTAATTTTGAAGTTTATGCATATAAGTATATGTAAAGGAAAAAATCTTAGAAAAGTTAATTGGCTACATTAATAATTTTTACTATATATATACATATATATATATATATATATATATATATATATATCTTGGAGACAATTTAAAATAACTTATCTTGTATATGATTAGTGATTAAGTACAAAATATATTTAAACTAAGTTCAGAATTTAATTTCATTAAATTTAATCATGTATGATTGTAATATTTTATATGATAAATACGTTAATTAACATATTCATAAATCATAAGTGTTAAAGTAGTTGATTAAATAGTAAAATAAAATTTTGAATTAGGTTGGATTTTATGATTTTTTTTTAATTTAGTTTTTTTGTAAATGCATTTAATTGTGTTGTATGTAAGCAAATCTCAGAATGATTAATGCACCAAATCAATTTAAGGGGCAGAAGCGCAATGCTTCAAATGGGGGAAAACTTCTCTTTTAGAAAAAACTTTCCAATCTTATATTACAAATCTTTTAGGCCTTTTTCTCCTTCACTGCCGAAGTTCTCATTTCCGAGAAGCTAATCGAATATTCATACTATACGGAATATTCAAGTACGTGATGTCTTAGGTTTTCGTGTTTATGTTTTAATCGAGATAGTGGTTCTCCTATGATTTGTAGCCTAATTAGTTTTAGTTTTAAATAGATCAGTATTGATTATTCCCTCTCAAGCGCTAAAATCTAATGTAATTATCTTAATTGCTTCCCTTGATAAAAAATAAACAAATTTATTTTAATTTCTTGTGTCTACTACATTATTACAGAATTTGATTCAAGAGAGCTTGAAACACATTCAAGAAAGATGTTACAAACAGAGATTAAATTTGAGGAAGGATGGTCCTACATACATCAAGGTGTTACTAAGCTGATAAGAATTTTAGAAGGAGAGCCTGAACCAGCATTAGAATCTCAGCAATATATGAATCTGTACACGTACGTAGGTCGTCTTATGTAATGTTTGGATCCTTATATAATGTTTGTAATTACCACAATTATTTCTTATGTGATTCACAGGACTACCTACGTTATGTGCTCCAAGAACCCTAATTACTCACAACAGCTTTATGATAAGTATCGTGAAGTAATTGAAAATTATACAATCCAAACGGTGAGTACCAACGTTTTTCATTTTGGCTAGATTCTTAGATATTAATGTGTGAAGAAGACACGTTTTTTTAATAACATAAAGCAAAAAAAAAAAGTTAAATATAATTTCTCTATTTTCTGTGGCTAAGGTGTTGCCGTCTTTAAGGGAGAAGCATGATGAATGTATGCTAAGAGAGCTTGCTAAGAGGTGGAATAACCATAAATTTTTGGTTAGATTGTTTAGCAGATTCTTGCTTTATATAGACTCTTCCTTTGTTTCTAAAAGAGGTCTTCCATCACTGAGGGAAGTTGGCTTGAATTGCTTCCACGACCTGGTTTGACATACATATACCTATATATAGCTTCTAATTTTTCACTTTTTTTGAAAGAATTTTCTAACGGTCTATGCAATTACGTACTTTAGGTTTATCGTGAAATGCAGTCCATGGCCACAGAAGCTGTAATAGCACTTGTAAGTAATGGTATCTGTATAGAAAAAAAAGATTCTCTGGTTTTGCCTGATCTTTTTTTTTTCTCTCTAACAATATTTGTATTGCCAGATTCATAAAGAGCGTGAGGGTGAACAAATTGATAGAGAACTAGTGAGAAACGTAATAGATGTCTTTATTGAGAATGGGATGGGAACTATGAAAAAATATGAAGAGGATTTTGAAAGCTTCATGCTCCAAGATACTGCTTCTTACTATTCTAGCAAGGCGACAAGGTGGATCCAAGAGTATTCTTGTCTTGATTACACGCTAAAGGCATATCTCTAGATATCACTTTTGGAACTGTTATCCAATTCGATTTCAAGAAAGTATGTATGTTAATGAATGTTAGTAATTTTATGTTGCAGCCTCAAGAGTGTCTACAAAGGGAGAGGGAGAGAGTCACTCACTACCTTCATCCAACCACTGAACCCAAACTATTTGAGGTGCGTTATGATATAATTATTTGGAATTAATCCTATTTTTAAGAAGGGAGATTTTAGCGTTTGAACTTAGTGAGATGCTTATTCTTTGGTAGCATTTTGAGGATAATGTAAAACTCTGATAGTTATTAGCCTTTTATTTTTTTCCACAGTATTATATATTGAGTGGCCATTGTTTCTTTAATTTTGATGCATTGTAGGTATTGAGAGAGGCATTTCAAATCTTAAAGAGGGATAGAGGAAATAAGAAGCTTTAAGTGATAAAGATACACTTAAGTAAAGGAAGTGAGAAGCTTAGTAGATTTCCTTGTTAATATTGTTTATGCGTTGAAGTTTGAAAATCTGGGTCAATAATAATGAGCTTCCTAGTCTCGCTACAAATTTGGTAGTTTAAAATAAAATCATTTTTCAAGTACGAGATCCGTAATGGTATTTTCAAAAGTTTTATGTGATTCGTAATCTCTGTCAATTCTTGACGAATATAACTGAAACATAAAAGATTTGCGCTCTGTAGTAGAAACTAGAAATTGGAGTGTTCGTAGATCATCTTAGACAGTCAAACAGCTATCATGTCATGCATGCTCGTTTTCAAGTTAAAGTCAATTCTTAAAGGTTTAGATTTGATTTCTGATATTGTTTTTAATAATCTGTTTGTGTGGAGTTCAAAATCTCTGCAGTATATCTAGGATTATGATTCTAATTATTTACTCATAAAATCCAAAGATGTTTCATTTCAAATGATTTGATATACAAAGATTTTACAAGTCTTTTAGTTTTGAATAATACTGGATTTGAATGAAGCATTTTAAATCTTAGTTGAATAACACCAAACTTTAAAATATATTAGAGTTAGATTTAGAATCATTAGGTTAATAACACTAGATTAGTGTTGGATTTCAATTCTATTAAAATCCATCATTGAATAACACCACCTAAGATTAGTTTTTGTACTTTCCTTCCAAATCGATTGGGCTAAAAGTTATTTTTAGATTAATATGGGGCGACGTAAATTTGTTTCGTCGCTTTAGTAACTTATGTATAATTACTTCTTTGATAGCTAGAAGTGTGACGAGAGATAGTCGATTTCATTTATATATGGCACTTGGAGGGCCGGCATGGCTCTACAATCAAGTGTGGGATGAAGCAAATTTTTAAATTTTTTTCTTTCCCTTTTTTCTAGTTTATTCGGTTTTTCGTATTTTGTTCAAATGTTATATTATATGAGCATATGAAATAAAATAAAAACGATATAGGAATCGGTTTAGTAACTGAGGTTTTATGGGCCAACGTAATTTTTTCCTCAACATTTAGAAAACGGAAGCTTTAACTAATGTTGGGGATATGCCTTTAGTCAAGTGATTAAATCAGAAATCAATGAACAACACCCCCTAAGTCTATTTGACTTCGCCTTCTCATCGTAGGTCGACTCTACTAAGTCGTGTTACCCGCGTAGTATGGATTGACTATGGATCGGATCTTGTCGATCCAAAAATGTCAAAAAAAAAAAACTAATGTCAAAATTTCTATAGTCACTTTTTGTATTGTTTTAACGTTGCTTGCAAAACCGACGCAAGCTGTCCAATTTTCATTTGTACAGTTACATGGTTTTCTTCTTAAATAAAATAAAATTGTGATAGAAAAATACAAAACGAAAATGGACTTAAGAAAATACATCTTGCTTAATGATTCTAATAATTAGTAGAAATTATAGGAATATAAATTACAGAAGTAGAAATGACATTATACTAACCCAGATTTCATAATACCATCGGTATTGATGTCCCTCGGAACAGTGGATGGTCTACTCCGATATTTCTCTTCTTAGGCGTCCTCTACCGCTCTACGTAGATTGTGTTTTTGGGAAGGCTTACGGCTCAAGCCATCGCAGGAACATCTACATAGAATATGCTAGGATTCTTCCTTCCCTTGATCACACTAAATACTCTACATGCTTAACTACAAATACATGTTCCTACAAGATTTTAGTTTTCACAAAGAAGTGAAGCTTTGCAGATAGCTGAATGAATCTGTCTCCACAAACCAATATTTCTATTCCACTACAAGAAAACATGTGATATTCCAACAGATGCTTCCAATAATCGTATTTTGTTGAAAATTTGTAACCGATATTCTATAAAATTGCAACAAATATTTTATTTATTGAAAATTTATTGCAAAGTTCCAATAAATTTTGTTTATGGTAAATTTGTCACAAACGTCGTAGGAAAATTGTTGGAATTGTCCAACAAATATGATATTGTTGCAAATTAGCAATAATTATTAAATTGTTGGAAATTATTAACAAAATTTTTGTTAGAAACAAATTCTTTTGTGGGAATTTATTTCTAACAAGTTAATGACAAAATTTTTGTTGGAAAAGTGGGGAAAAAAATAAAAACGAAAATAAAAAAAAATACGGAAAAAACAAAAAAAAACGGAAAAAACCAAAAAAAAAAGGAAAAAAATTTAGGTTAAATATGATCATCTTCTTCTTCTTTTCTCTTTTTTTTTTTCTGTGAAGTTATACTTCTGAAAAAATTGAAAACTATTTTCAATGACAGGACCAAAAAACAAAAATCGTGAGTGGATGTATAATTATATAGATGAAGGTACTGGAGAATTAACAAAGGAATTTAAAGAAGGTCTTGTTGATTTTATGCGTTTTGCTGCAAATCAAGAGATTCCATTGGAGTGTGGTAAGATGTATTGTCCCTGTTTTACTTGTGGTAATGAGAAATTTCTTCCAGTAGATTCTATTTGGAAGCACTTATATAGTAGAGGATTTACGCCTGGATATTACATATGGTTTTCTCATGGGGAAGATTTTGCTACTTTAGCAAATAGTAACGAAGATGATGAAAATCATGGGTTAGCAAATAGTAACGAAGAGGAAGAGAATATAACTAGAGATCCTACCGGTGTAATACAGATGGTAACAGATGCTTTTCGCGAAACGACTGAAAGTGGAATTGAAGAACCAAACTTACAAGCGAAAAAGTTTTTTGATATGTTAGATGCAGCGAAGAAACCAATTTATGCTGGCTGTAAAGAGGGTCACTCTCGTTTATCAGCTGCAACACGGATGATGAATATAAAAACAGAGTATAACTTGTCGGAGGATTGTGTTGACGCAATAGCTGATTTCGTGAAGGATTTACTGCCAGAACCAAACTTGGCACCTGGTTCTTACTATGAAATACAAAAATTGGTATCTTCACTTGGGTTACCCTTCCAGATGATAGATGTGTGTGTTGATAACTGCATGATATTTTGGAGAGATACCGCAAATCTGGATGCCTGTACATTTTGTCAGAAGCCAAGATTTCAGGTTACAAGTGGAAAAAGTCGAGTACCTTTCAAGCGTATGTGGTATTTGCCAATAACAGATAGGTTGAAGAGGTTATACCAATCTGAACGCACGGCAGGTCCTATGAGATGGCATGCAGAGCATTCATCCGACGGGAATATTTCGCATCCTTCTGATGCTGAAGCATGGAAACATTTCAATTCGTTGTATAAAGACTTTGCAAATGAGCATAGGAATGTGTATTTGGGATTATGTACGGATGGTTTTAATCCATTCGGAAAGTCTGGACGCAAATACTCACTATGGCCGGTAATCTTAACACCCTATAATCTTCCTCCATCTCTATGTATGAAACGAGAATTTTTGTTCCTAAGCATTCTTGTTCCTGGACCTGAACATCCTAGGCGATCACTTGATGTATTCTTACAACCGTTGATTCATGAGTTACAAATGTTGTGGTCCGAGGGTGTAGTTACATATGATATTTCTCTAAGGAACAATTTCGTGATGCGTGCTGTTCTGATGTGGACGATTAGTGATTTTCCAGCATATGGAATGTTATCTGGGTGGACAACGCATGGAAGGCTATCATGTCCCTTCTGTCAGGATACTACAGATGCATTTCAGCTTAAGCATGGAAAAAAATCTTGTTGGTTTGATTGTCATCGACGGTTCTTACCAAAGAATCATCCATATAGGCGAAGTGGGAATGTGTTCAGAAAAAACAAAATGGTGAGTGATGACTCGCCTCCGATGTTATCAGGACAAGATATACTGACACAATTCAGAGATTTTGGTGTTTTTAAGACAACCGATGTTGGCGGTAATGGACATGATCCTATATATGGGTATGGTCTTAACCATAACTGGCACAAAAAAAATATCTTCTGGGATTTACCGTATTGGAAGGATCATTTGCTAAGGCATAACCTAGATGTGATGCATATTGAGAAGAACTTTTTTGACAATATCATAAATACAATCTTGGATGTGCTAGGCAAGACAAAGGACAATCTAAAATCGAGATTGGACCTTCCTGATATATGTGAGCGTCCTGAGCTATATGTTATGGACAATGGAAAAGGTCCAATTCCAATCTTCAGATTAGATGCAAAGGGAAAGAAAGCGCTATTTGATTGGATAATCAATAGTGTTAAATTTCCTGATGGTTATGCATCTAATCTCTCGCGTTGCGTAGATATTAACAACGGCAAATTTTCTGGAATGAAGAGTCATGATTGCCATGTTTTTATGCAACGTTTGCTTCCTTTCGCATTGGCTGAACTTTTACCCAAAAATGTTCATCAAGCAATAGCCGGTATGTACTGTTAACTTAACTATTATTTTACTTAGATATATATATTATGAAAACATATTTACAGGTTTACTAATAAATATATAAAATTACTGCAGGGATAAGTACATTTTTCAGAGACCTTTGCTCAAGATCCCTCACAGCCGATGGCATAGCTCTCCTAGATAAGAACATTCCTTTGATCTTATGCAATTTAGAAAAAATATTTCCACCATCTTTTTTTGATGTTATGGAACATCTTCCGGTTCATCTTCCTCGAGAAGTAGCGCTAGGTGGACCTGTTCAGTATAGGTGGATGTATCCATTCGAAAGGTTCATGTTCCATCTTAAAAAGAAAGTGAAAAATCTGAGCAAGGTCGAGGGTTCTATTGTGGCGCAGAGTATAAATGAAGAGACTTCATATTTTTCTTCGTACTACTTCGCACCTAATGTTCAAACAAAAGCTAGAAAACCAGGCCGCTATGATGATGGCGGTAAGAAACCTTCTTACCACACCGATATCCCAAAAATATTTACAGAAGTTGGGGGGTTTAGCGGAAAACAACAGTCAGTTTGGTTGACAGATGAAGAATACAAACATGTGCATAACTATATACTTCGTAATTGCGAAGAAGTATTACCATATGAGAGGTATTTTAATTCTCTCTATATATTTATTTTGAGTAGATTTTTTTGATTAATTTGATGGGTAACTTTTTCAGAAAATTTGTCCAAAATATCAAGAGCTCATATCCACAGAAAAGTGATAACGAAATAGAGATCATGAAAGAAGAAGAATTTCCGAAGTGGCTAAAATACTATGTGAGTTGAAAACCTCTTTGTTTTTTTAATTGGATTGTACTAAGTTGCTAAACTGTTAATTCATATTTGTAGGTTAAATCAGCGTCTTCTTTGGGTGAGCCAGTTCCAACGTGGCTTCGAGAGTTAGTAGGAGGACCACTTTCTGAGACGATTTCATCGCCAATATATTGTACTCGTGGATATGTATTTAAGAGAAGGACTGCCTCAAAAAATAGACAGACCGTCAACCATGGAGTTGTTGTGCGTACGATGGATGAAGAATACTATGGTGTGATAGAAGACATTTTAGAGGTCGAATATCCTGGACTCATAAAATGTGTGCTTTTCAAGTGTCAGTGGTATGATCCTACAAGGGAACGTGGTGTTCGACTTACCAAATTTGGCGTTACGGAGATTAACTCGTCGAAAAAGCTGAATAAGTATGATCCATTTGTTCTTGCATCCCAAGTCGATCAAGTGTGCTATATTCCATATCCTAGAGTTAAACGCATCCATGATCCGTGGATCACAGCTACACAAATTAATCCAAGAGGAAGAGTAGATGGAGTGAAGGACCACGATCCGATGCAACAAAACTCTGTAGACTCTATTAGTGTGGTTGAACACTCTCTTGAAAACACTATATTGGTTGATGTTGAAAATCTCCATCTTGATGATGTTAGTGTAGGTGGTGATGACAATGCAGATGAATTTGACGATTCTGACAATTCAAGTAGGTCAAGCGACTCATCAGATTCAGATGATCATGAGTAGAACTATTGTTTTTTTTGTTGTTGTGAGCTCTTTGTTCCTTCTACGATTTGCTTGTCTTTTTTGGTTCATTCAGATACATTTTCCGTTTAGTCACTTTCTTCTCCCCTTGTGTTTCAGTTCACTGATTTTGCGATTTCGTTTTGAGTTTTTGAGTTCATTGCTCTCGATTTCATCTAAATTATCTTCTGTAAGTACAATCTCAAGTTTGTGGGAGTTGTAAATACATAGAGCAGGGCTTCTCAAAACTGTGCAAGCAATCTGGTGACCAAGAAGCTCCTGTTATCTTCCTTAAGCATAATGTGAGTATTTGATTTCTCATCTTCGATTCAAACAAGCGAGAAGTAGTGAAAAAGTCCATTAATAGCTCAAATGCTATTTGCAGGTGGTAGATGAATATGATGAACAATCTGAAGTCGCAGAAAGGCTCCGTATCAAGGTAATCCCTCTTTAGAATTTTGGTCGCTAACAACACTAAAAAACCGAATCGTGAGTTTGATATACTACAATCTTGCAGATTAATAAGTCCGAGATAGAGCATGGTTAAAAGTGTTCTGAGGGGCTGCTCACATGAAGTCTTTCAAGCTTGAATCAAGGTGGAGAATGTTGAAGTATGATCCAACCTTGAGACTCATTTAGCATGTTGGAGAGAGCTAAGTCAGAACGTTTTGAAAGAAGATTAAGAAGAAGCTACTGGTGGAAAGAGAGGGTCTCAAGTCATAGAATAAAGAGTCACGTGAGTGGAGGTGAGAAGAAACGACACGATGCCGTTTTAGCTCTCTAAGAGAGACTCGAAGCTTCTTCTTCACATACAGTACTAGACGAGAAGATTCAAGATTCTGATTCTCAATTTTCTGGGTTTCTTGGTGAGAGTTAGAGAGAGAGAGAAGTGAGAGAGAGTAATTCTCAGGTCCTTCTTGTTCTTTAATTATCTTCTTATTCTTCGTCTTCTTAGATAGAGAGAGTTAGTGTGAGGGATCTCCATTGAAGAGCACCATTGTAACCTCTTGAAACATTGGATAGTGGATTCGGCTTGTGAGGAGCAATACCTCACCGAGACGTACCTCAAAGTTGCGGTTTGCAACAGAGGGAACTCGTAAATCTCTTGTGTCCTTAGTTTATGTTTTATCACGTAATCGCAATAATCGAAGAAAGCAAATCAGTGTGAAATTGAGTCTGATTTCCAACAGTGATGTTGGTTATTCAAAATCTGGGTTTTGGTTATTCATAATTGTTGTTATTAACTTGATTAAACAAGAACAGAGGTATTGTTTATGAACAAAGGTTTGTTCTTTCATTGAATCTGTCGGCTTTATGATGAAAAGTGTTGTTTATGAAGATTTTTTCAAATTCGATTTGGGTTTTCTCAGTTTGTTGTGATTTTTTGATTGATTGTGGTCTTGAGAGTTTCTTAATTTTATATCATAATTAAGAATTTTCTTTTGAATGATTTGAAGGTTTCTCTTGAGGATTGTACCTTGAACAATGAAGAAGCTTTCACTTTCTAGGAATGCTCTCTGCTCAAAGTGTAACGGTTAGTACATTCGTTCACTCGACGTCATTCTTTTAATACGTTTTTCGGTGTAGCTTTGAATTAGCTGAAGCTTGAACTTTATTTTGATGGCCTAAACTGGTGGTTCTATGAGCAACATGCCACACTTTGAACCTTATACATGATTCTTCAGTTTTTAAATTTGACAATTAAGTCGTAGATTTGGATTTTGCTCTATAATGGTATTGGTTGGTTTGTTCTGTTTTCATCTATCTAATGATACTTACATTGTGGACTGCTGGATTCAGCCAAAGCTACTTACTTGATTTGAATCTAGAATGAAATTAGGATTAGCTTCTGATTGTAAACTATGTTTGTTAGTGGTATTGCAGTGTTCTCTCTCTTTTGATCTAATCTTTAGCTCGTTCTTGAATTCTATAATGGTTTTAGGATTGAAAAAGTTGTGTGTATGGAGATAATTGCCTCTAAAATGTCTTATTCTCTAAATTGCCGCTTATTATTTTTACAGAAATTTAGAAATTGCCGCTGTTTTTTTAGAAAATTTGTTTAGAGAATATATCCCATTAATTTCGGTTGGTTTTACCACAACTATTAATACCCATAACCTCTTATGTTAACCCTAATTTTTATTTAGCGATCCCCACTCCACAAGTTCTTTACTACTCTTCACGTCTCACCACCGTAACTCTTCTTTTCTACAGGTAATTTTATTACTTTTTTGATCATAAAACTGGCTTTGTTGATGAATTTTCTTGTTAATTTCGAACTTTGTAACTGAGTTTCTTTATCTATTTAATGAACTCATGTAGACATGGGGACTTGGGATGACTATATGGCTTATAGACGAAGGATGGACCAAAACCTATTGGGATCGAGTTCTCAACAGATGAGTGACTCCCCTACAGATGCTGGAGAACCGTCTAGAGTACCTGAGACGCCTACAAATGGACAAAGCTCAACGGATCCAGCAGATTTATTGACTCTGGACCAATTGCTTCGATCTGCAGGCCGTGCAAGCCTAAAAAAACTTGATCCGAGAAGAATGAATGGTGATGGATGGTAAATTCCACTTAAACTTCTGTTTTAATTCCGTAACTTTATTCTCTGAGTTTTTGTTCTCTTAGTAAGATTAGAGAAAAAATGTGGTCCGTGAATGACTTGAATGAGTTGTCATGATAGATTAGTTTATGTTGAATTAGAAGTCAACGAAACCTAACATGGCTTTTTTTTTCTTAATCTAAGATAGTAGATTCATTACAGCCGAGTTTGATTATTCTATGTGCAAACACTATGTCTAAGCCACTTAATTAGTTACAAAGTTTACACTATGTCTAAGCCACATAAACAGAGCTATTAGAACAAGCGTATCATTGATTTATATTTATGATCATTAGCGTTGATTTCCTGTTTATATAACTACTCTTATATTTATTAACATACAAGGTTTGAATACACCAAGGGGATTACTAAGGCTGTGAAAAAAATTGTGGAGAGCGATTTCAAAGAAGTGGCTCCTAATTGGTCAACACTCTCAAGCGATACCAAGTTACGTTGGTTCAAAGCATTTGCGGTATGTTTTTTCTATATTTGTTTTGTCAAAGTCTTTATAATTAGTGTTACTATTTAGACATTGTTATCTATTTGATTTTCATTCTTTTTATTTGATCTTGTAGCAAAAGTATAATTGGCGTTATGAGATAACAACACTTGTTCAACATGAGTTTGAGACTTTGTGTGCATCTCGTTTGCTGGGATATGTCCATGAATGGAAAAAGGCATGGAAGCAAGACAAGGGGAAGCCCCAATGGATGTTAAACTCTGTTTGGATTGGTCTTATTGCTTTCTGGGAAAACGAGAAAAGCATCAAGAGAAGCAAAACCAACTCCAAAAATAAGAAGAGCGATCGTGGTGGCTTAGGGATAGCTAAGCACACATGTGGGTCAATGCCATATGTCCGGAGAAGAGAAGAGATGGTAATTTGTTTTATTTTTTGCATTCGATATAGTTTCTATCAAATTCAGTCCAAGTTTTCTATAATGACATATTTGTGTGTTTCAAAACTGTTTAGCGTGATAAGGTGACAGGAGAGCTCCCAGATATGGTTACTTTTATGGAAGCAACCCATAAGAGAAAGTCTGATGGTGTATTTGTGTGCAAAAAAGCTGAGTTGATCGCCAAAAAATGTCGAAACATGGAGCACCAAATTCTTAGTCAAAGAGACAATGATGATGGTGACACTTTGGACACTAACCATCTTACACAAGAAGAAATTGATGCCATTTACCAAGGGGTAAAATGCTGAAACTTCTATTATTTTTTTAATTATACTTCATGTGTTTTTTTTTAACCATACTTTATGTTTTTAATACTTTTTTCTTATGTGAATTGTAACATGCAATTTTGAAATTCCAGGAAGTTCAAGTGAAGAAAGGCAAGAAATTTGGCTATGGTTCAATTCCGGAAGCTGATCCTAGCGTTGATGCATCTCCAAATTATGAAGAAATGTATCTTGAGACTCAAGAAAAGCTCCAGAAATCGGACCAAGTGATTGAGGGAATGCTGCTGAAGTTTAAAGATGTTGATTTTTGGATTACTATGATGCAGAACAAGTTTCCAAATGAAGTTCCACCTTCCATGATAACAACAATGAACACCAATGGTGGTCTTTGAATTCAATTAGTAATTTGGTTTCATTAAGACTTTAAGCATTTAGGATTGTTTTTCAATATTATGTTTGGATGTTTAAGTGTTTTGAGATTTTAAAAATGTTTACTTATTATGATTTTTAATTTTATTATTTATTTTTATTTTTATTTATTTCTTAATTTTATAATATTTTTTATTAAAAATTACCTAAATAATATATTCCAACAAAAAGTTGATAAATGGTTCATGAGACATTTTGTTGGAAACTTAGTAGAATATATCAACATATTTTCAACGATTAATTTCTGATAAAATTCCAACAATTAAATCATCAGAAGTTTTTCACAAATTTACAAGAAAAATAGCAATAAATTTTCAACAATTAAATTATCAATAATTTCTATGAAGTTCCAACAATAACGG